TATTTGATTGGGGGATGACCTGTCACTGTGCAATAGCACCCACATTTGTGCCAATATTATTCCTTCGTTGGTTATGTGTAAGAGGCAAAGACAGTTGCTGGATATTAAGGCTCTGATGCAGGATACTGAACAAAGTTATGCTTCAAAGCCTGATAGCTAACATTCGATAGACTATGACAAATGATATTAAAAGCACTCAGCTTAAAGAACTGACCTATTGACTATCTGATACCAAGGCCTATCAGTCAAAAGTAATAGCTGATTAATTTCCTTCAGAATAATTTTCCCAGCTCTTTTTTAATTTAGATTTTACAACACTGCCATGTATCGAGTCAACACTTTTGGATCATCCAATTTACCCCTGCTACTATACACGTCTCAATTTGCGATTTTTGATGGATTTCTAAAATGAAGATCTGGCAAATTGTTGGCATAACGAACCTAATCTTCTGTTTTTTTTTCTGCCTTTTTGCACAAACATCAATAGAGTACTACACACTACTGAAGGCTGAAACAAGTTCTCGCGCCTCGATTGTTGAAGCGGGCAACCAGATTTGTGGTCGGTGGCTATCGTGGCAGCAATTAATTTTATAAAATGCTCGACAAATTTTCTCCACCTTGAGGAATTGTTTATTTAATTGTAAATCTCAATGGACGCACAGGATATTTAAACTCATTCATTGCTATTGGCAGGGAACTACTGCATATACCAATACTTTCAAACTGGGGGGACTGGCAGTGAATGAATTGACATAGTGTGCCTCTGTCACCTACACAAGGGAAGAAGAGCGGAAATATCTTTATCAAGGGAATAGCAAGATGGAGTAGGCGAGGAGGAGTAACAATGACCACAAAAAAAAAAAAAAGGACAAATTGTGTGCGTGAGTGTGGGAGCATTTCGGATTTAAAAGCAAGGTGAATACTGTGACGTGTTATTATTGTAAAGTAGCCCTTGCACACAATAACACATCTTCAATGTAGCTGAAGACACCCAGAGGAAGAGCCGGCAAGGTATAATTAACGCAACACAAATCAGTGTCAGGTATCTGAATAACATAACATTATCTCCGCGGACCTCTACAAGGTATAATTAACGCAACACAAATCAGTGAGAGTACATTAAGGTATCTGAATAACATAACATTATCTCCGCGGACCTCTAGGTGTGTAAATTATGACCACTATCAAATTTGTTGCTAGTTTATGACAACTGTGAGAAGTATGCCCATGAACATAACGTGATAGGGTTTATTTCATCAGTTAAAGGACAGCGCTATGCAGGGAAGATGATAAAAAAAAGATGAAAACACGATAAAGTTAACTAAGCAGTCAGTAGGTGGTTACCTCTAGAAAACAATACTTTGTGGTGAAACAAGAATGTGTGAGTCACCTATGCTTGACAAAGAAAATATAAAGGAGCACTGCTGCATAATATCCTCCCCTCAATACAAGTGCTTTCATTTTAGTTTGAACGCTTGCAAAATTTCTAGCCGATATCTGCTACCTGCCTCGAAAAAATAAACACTGCTATTCTAAGTGAGATTCAGTCATTGAGGTTAAAAGAATTGACAGGTAATTATACATTATTCTCTGAGGTTAGTAGGGCTGGGCAATTATGGAAAAAATCATCACAATTATTTTGAGATATTGAAGTCACAATTATTAAAAAGTTATTCATTGAAAACAATTTATTCAACTACCCAAACTCCTCCACTCAGAGATACCATCATACCATTGGGGGGGGGGGGGGGGGGGGTGAGACCTTAATATCAAATATGTGCAATTCAAGCCTCTTACATTTCACTCTGCTGCATCCACACCTTTGCTGCATTGTATCTTTGCACACATTCAAATCAGGAATACACATGACCCTCATCTCGTTACTCTACATATATTTTTACTTATTTTTTTGTTGTTTCATTTTTATTTTCATAAAGTCTTGGGACTTTATAAGCTAACCTGGGACCTCAGGTATCGTATTTAGTGTTATATCATGTGGAAATGTGTTGGAATGACAATAAAAATTCCAAACACAACATAAAAATAAATGAGGGACAAAGTAAAATAATAATATACTATAGTAAGATCAATAAACAACTAAAAACACAAATAAATATCAATTGTTCCTGCTGTGTGCACAGTGGCCTCTTTGTGGCAGTGTTAAGCTATGCATGCATGCACTTTACATTAAGATACGAGTTGAAGAAGAAAGTTGTGATTGAGATTTATTACGCTAACATTTTTATTTCAGAAATTCGCAACAATCTATACCTTTGCCTTTCTGTATGTGTTCCAACAGCGTTTGAGTGAATAGTGGTTAATTGAAGAAATATCACTCCCGGAAGTCTAGGCTAATATTCAATTAGCATGTCAATTGTATTTTACATCGACTTTAGCACTACCGATCTTTCTAAAACTAATCATGTCTTGTATTTAACATTTATTTTTTTTGTTATTGTGTGTTTAGTTCTACAATAAACTCCAACTCGGGTGTCATTTAAAAGCTGAAAGCACGCTTGGGGAGCAAAGAATCCCATACACATCACAAGCTTGCTATGCAAGCAACACAAAGCATTCAGGGTGCTTTCACCACATCAGGAAATTGCAAATATGCCACACCGTTCAGCACATCAGTTTGTTTGTCTTCAATTATAAAGTTTTTATGATCATGAAAAGGCAAAAACAAAATCATAATTAAATGCCGAGCCCTCGCGGTTAGGCAATATTTACAGCATAAGTGGATGGCAAAGAAGTCAACACTACTGGAGTTGTCGGTTTTTCATGTTTACAAGGAAGTGCTCGCTAAGACAGGTACTGATCTGACAGGGAGTGGCACTGAGATCTCTGCGCCCAACTGAGTGCTACTTTAAATTTAAATATACAATAAAATAAGCTTTTGCTGTGTTCTTGTGCTGGTCTTGCAGGTCTACCAGCAACACTGGGACCAAAGCACAGCAAAACCAGCATATTTTGTGTGCACCTATGCTGATATGGTAAGGGGGGGGGGGGCAGCATTGAAATCAGTGATGGACATCAGCATGTGGAAAGACAACCGTTCAAGAGTGGGAGGACCTTTTAGGTTAAAGCCGGCAGTAACTTGGGTTAACTTTGCCAACTAGTTGTTTTTCTACTCCGGTGAACGCTAAAAATGTATGCATTTACCGGCTGACCTCCCGTTACTATGATACGTATATGAACACTAGTTACAGTGGGTAAAAGAATCATGGAGCAATAGTATTGCCTTAATGCCATACCCAGATATAGCTGAATACCATTGAGATAAAAATACCCGAACAGATGGGAGGGTTCACAGGCAAGGGTAGAGGCAGTGAGGACAACGCAAGATTTCAGAGGAGAGAACTGCAATTACAGACTTTTTCTAACCTCTGCCTTCTATGTGGTTCACAAAGCCTTCAGTGGATGCCCGTTCGGAGATAATGACCTCCCTGGGATATACAGATGTAAGAATAATCATACACAGACCAGTGGAGCTGTGGTGGAAATGACGACAAAATTACGACAAGTCTCCAACATGTCCTGTAATGACTACTTAACTTGGGTTAGACTTAGGCCTTGCCTTCATTAATGTATAATCAGCATTCAGAATATCAGCATACCAATGTCAGTCAATTATCAATATAATAGAGCAGGGTCACCAATGCAACAGATTGCTCCCAAGGACTGTGGCAGTAGCCCGCTGGCTTCTAAAAATATATCGAACACGGCTGGGATATTGTGATTTTCTAGGAACGGTGTAAAAAGCGATCATTTGCAAATGTGAACACTGACTGAAAAATGTATTTCAGAAATGCAAATTAATACCTGATTCAAATAGTAATACCTGATTCGAATAATACCGCGAATCAAAAAAATGTGTGAGGATCTTTTTCTGCGTCGGATACCCGTTTATTTGGTGTGCATGGTCAGGAAGACAGTCAAGCTAGCCGTAGCACTGCTAGGCATGACGGTAACACGCCACCAATATGATGATAAGGCTAACTTCAAAATAAAATCTTCCCAAATACTGTAACATACAGACATCGGTACCTTAGTGCGCTTTTATTTTGAAATATATATTTTGCATAGCGTGGTGGCTAATTTGACTCCTCTTTCTGACGGGTAGTTGAATAGTTGGGAGCCCAGTTTAAGTTTCCATCAAAAACTGTTGCCAACAACATCAACACAACAAATCATGTTCAAAATTGCAAATTAAGGACGCTTGTAATAAAACTAATTACACTGACATTGTACGATGCGGTGCCTGCTCCCAGTCTTGGCGGCTAGCTGCAAAGCAAGTGCCCCATACAGGCTGGCAAAAGCCTTCGTTTCAAAGACCGATTACTAATCGAAAGTGACTGCACACTTTGATACTTACAGCCTAACACAGTTGCAGTTCATATTCATCAATATTTAACAAACCAGGCTTACTCAAATGTGCTGTTTTAGCCGGCAAAATCACGACTGTGGTTCTGACATCACTATTAATAATTATTAACCGAGCAAAAAAAATCTACTTTTTTTTTTTATTGTATCCGAATACTCAATTATTCAATAGAATTTTCAGCAGGATATCCAAATACTAAAATATTTAATAGCTGCAGCTCTACATTGTAAATATAATAAAGGTGACAACGTAAGACTTTCTGTAATACTAGTGGATTACTGAAAACACATTGCTTCCATTTCTTTCCTTTCAGGATGAACATGGGAATCATTAGCGACAAATAGTCGTGGTTCTATGAGAATAGTTTCACTCCATTCCCCGATACAGCAATGGCTTCTTCACACTGCAACAACTATTGGTTGTAATGGAAAAAAAGGGGTAGACCAACACAATGCACTGCTTTGTTCATGCTCCAAATTATCCCTTTGAGCAGTTATCCAATTGAGTTTTAACTATTTGATCATCACAAAACGAGCATTGTTGATTAGGTTTCCCAAACACGGACAAAAGTGGACCTACCACATCAGTGCTGTGTTAAGTGGGTGTGCATGCTTACCAATTTGATCGCCACGTATTCGTTGGTATAGAGATTTTTTCCCAGGCGGAGCTCTCCAAAGTTCCCGCAACCAATCTTTTTACCAACACGGAAGTTTGGGCCAACCATAAGAACTCCAGAATTGGTCCCAGAACTCCGACCCCCATGTCCAGTCCTGCTTCCTGCCGTCTTAGACATTTTTTTCCCTTCCTCTGTCTCTCCCTTGCCCCCTCTCTTATCAAAATCCATAAGCTTGTGATACCCTGGCCTCTCCACGGTTATTCTCCAGCCATGCAAACCATAGGAGATCCAGTAACAATGGCCGAGGAAGCTTTAGGAAGGGGGGAGGGAGACAAATCTCACAGGACAGAGGAAAGGTGTTGCTTTTAAAACTGTGGTGGCGAATTAAGGAATCTAATCTAATGCTGCGTCCTCCCGTTTTGTCTCCTTGATTCTTCCTCACTCCAGCTCCAGTCAAAAAGAAATACGGTCCGGACAGGAGACTAGGCAGGCGGTGCTAGAATGTGCCCACAGACAGACACATACAGTACAAATCATAAAAAAGCACCCCAAACGCCAGCTAGTGCATCCACGAGCCCACTTGGGAACATCCTTTGGGGTTCCTCATTCCTTTTGGTCAGCCCTCAGTGACACAGTGGATGCTATCCATGTTGGAGGGTCACAGCATAGAGTGACCCTGACAGCAAACAGCGATGAGATGAATAGGTAACGGATTGCTTTGATGTCCCTTTGATACCTGCAAAACAATCAAAAGAAAAGAATGAGTTCATAACTTGTGATGTCAGAGCTCCCCATTTGTCCCATAACCGCATTTCCTCAAACTTGGGGCCAAACCCAAAATGGCTCCCAGTCAGATTTGATTACTGATTGTCCATAAAATTCTGGGGGCTATTTAGTTAATCCACTGTGCAGGCACAGTTTCTTAATGGGCATGATTCATTTTGTGTTATAAAATTATTTTTTTGACGCTTTCTTTATCATATTATTTAAGGCACTTACATCAATGCTATGGCTTTATATCACAAACCTTTGTCTAAACTAAAGACTGACTGATCTTTCGTATTACTTAACCAATGTAGGACCGATTCAAGTTTAAAACCCAAAGGTCAGTTTAGCGATGTTAGATAACTGAAGTTGAGATTAGTACTGCAATTCTACAATGATATCCTGTAACAGCAAGAGCCAATAATACAAACCACTGATTTATTCTTCAAATATGTCAAATACATTTGGAAATTGGAATATGACTGCCCCTTACTACTGCTCATTTAAAAGGACCTTACTCTAGATGGCGCAAGGTAAACACACTCCCTAAATTAATTAATATGAGCACATATTCACAACAGTGACTGATGATAAATAGCCTTGAGAATGGTCAAAATTAACCATTTTTATATCGCCAAGCAACATGCTTGTGGTGTAAAAATCAATCAGTTCCAGGCACAGCTGTCAATACCCGGAATTTTTTCAATTTTAATTGCCAGTGTAACTTAAACCCTGCATCCAAATCAGCTCTACTGAACACTATGGATGCACAAGCTAAGAGGCTGGTTCAGAAAACGAAAGCAGGTAATGGTCAACTATTACCAATGGAAAGGCACTTTAATGGATCAATATAAAGCATGTATTGGATACAGTGTCTAGTGCAAAACGGCCAAGAACACTCTGAAAACGTCTGCTGATCATGCAGAACTGAATAGTAATTGACATTTTAACATTGACCACACAAAATTAATTAGGCTCTCCCTGTCATGTTCAGTTATCAGGAACAACAGCAATGTTTGTTCCTGGGTCAAATTGACTCAGGCATGCTTAATTAACCAAAACTGAAAAAGTTGAACATTTCAATTCACAGGTGTTTAAAATCCTCCATAACATAAATTCAGGAAAAAGCAGCTAAATACGAAAAGCATATGATCTATTCTGCGGCCCACACGGCCCTTCTCACAAGTGCGCAGTTTGAAACATCTTGGTCATTTTGACATGATGACTTTGTGAGAACCCTTTGGAATTTTGGCCTGTACCAGTTTATTGGTGGATATTTTTAACTGAAATTTGTCAGCCAATCTGAGAAGGGGTTCCCTGGGTAGCAGACAAATGAAAGGCTCAAGGAGATATGTTGAGATATAAACAAATTATACTTTTATTAGGTCAAATTTGAAGGTATTGACCAGATTTTCTCAAGGTGATATACGAAAGAAAAAAAAAAAAAAACATTCTCCCAAACAGACGCTTTATTCCCCACAAATAAATAAATAAAAAGGGGGGGAAAAAACAATTTTATCCCATGATCAGAGGTTCAAAATTATTGCTACATTGTAGTAAGGTTGAATTGGCCATTCCAACCAGGCTTGCATTTTCACTGTGTCGTTTTTGGGACACCTTGTTAGATAGTTGAGACAATTTTTAAAAACTGCTTTGATGAGACGAATCCTTTTCTTTTCTTACTTTAAAATAAACCGGTTAAGTTTTCCTCATACCATTACAAAGGTACTAATAATAAAGCAGTTTACAATAACAGGTAAGACTTCAGAATATTGACAAAAATAGTTTTAAAAGCTAAAGGCACACAACAAACTAGTCGAGCAGTTAATGCTCAAAAAAAGGTATTCCATTTATGTTATAGTTCCAACTATAGCCTATGAGATCACCAATAATGTCTGCAGTGTTTGATGTTACATTCTGTAGGAAATGAAAAGAGGGTAGCCACATGGTCACGAGAGCAGAACTACAACAAAGTGCCTAAAAGCCATTTGAGCTCCCGTGCCAGATTATCACAATTGTTAAATGTTGGTAGTTGCATACTGGATATGTGAATTGCTTGAAAGGGTAAGTTTAAATTTTAGATGCTATTGAGGTAAAACACACTGAAGTCCACACCTGCATTTTTGCATAATCTTCTTTCTCTAATCGCTGATTCTATTTTATAATATGTGGATTGTTTTTGAATGGACTATTGGCTATCGCTGCCTATTAGTTTATCATCTTAGCAATAAGGCCTAAGTTTTGAGGTGGCAGCAAACAACCTGGTCTAAATCATGGCTAGTGGCTTTACCGTCACTTCTCTCAGTGTAGCTACGCATTGCCACGGGGGGGGAGAATTAATTCAGTGTGAATATTGCCCCCTTAACAAAGTGAAAGCTTGAAACGATGTTAATCAATAAAGTTCACATCGATCGGTGCATTTCCTCCTCAAAGCGATGTCAAATGTGTGCATTTGCTCGTTAGTTAATGCTCGCTAACAACTAGCTAGCTAACATTGGCTGTCATTTAACGTTACTTTTGTTTAGCGCCACAGATAACCATTTCCTCAACTGGGTAGCACATTATTTTGCATTTGACAACGTTGATGTCGACATTAAATACAAACAGAAGCGATACATTTCTTCGAAAATAACCGCACATTAACACTTGCTAGTTGGGGCAGACAAGGCCAGATACTCTCAGGACATCCTGGCGTTACCTAGCCACTTAGCATAATAGCGTTCATTCGTTCAGAGAATTTGTATATATTAAAATGCTGTTTTACAGTTTATAAACACGAGTAGCATGCACAACTACGATCTAATTAAAAGCGGATGTATACTGGTTGGTACTAAATCTTACACAGTTGATGAATGCTAACCTAGTTAGCACATCTAAAAAAAAAACACCGCTCCTCTTGGCCCTACGCCTAATAAAAAACAGCTAACGTTAGCCGGCGCTAATACAAAAACTCAAACATGAAGAAAAAACCCAGACTAATTAAGAGTAAGCGAACTAGGCTATACAATGTAGGAAGAGGGCAAAGCACAAATTATTCATTGATTGACAGCCCCGAAAATACGATAATCTGGTTATTAAATGACTAATAACAAATGAATAACACTGTCACTTCCGATGTTGTTAATAGATTCTATCGACTGTTGTATACTTTTAGTCAGCTCGATCAAAATGTAATCTGACAGTTTAATTCTAAATATATATTCCTGTCAGGGGCAATGCGCCGACCACTGCCGGGCAACTCCTTAATCCTAACAAGCGAGTGTACACCAGCGGTCCCTCTTTAGCTCACATGCTAACGTTAGCGGTTGTCCAAACTAGCACACGAAACACAGCGAGAACGTTCATGTACGGCGAGGCGCTTTCTTCTTCGAGGAACAACAACTGGGAAGGAGCTTTTACGCCCACAACAAAACGTGTGGAATTACCTTTAGACTTAAGCTATCGACGGGCAGTCGAAGTCATGGCTCTTCGTACGTATGAATCGTTTATTTTTCCCCCTCTTGTCCTCGAGTTGCTATGATATCTCTTTAAGCCTCCCCCGACTGCCGATACCCTGACACAGCGTCACACTGCCTCACGCCACTACTACGTAGAAAAAAACGGGGCGTAACTTTTTTCGGGAATACGCAAAAGAAAGAGCGCAGCTTCCGCAGTTTTGTTGTTATTTTGCTCCATAATATGAAAACATACCAGAAAAAAAATCCTTGTTTTGTCATAAAGCACTGCAGTCTACAGTCACAATAAATGAACAATTATACAACAGTTTATTTGTCACTCATTAAATTGTGACGTATTCAGTGTAAATAAATAGTTCTGTAGTTTAACTGTAAATACAATACAATACAATACATCCTGATTTATATAGCGCTTTCATAACAATAGAATGACATTGAAAATGAATTCATTAGTAAGGTAATTTAACATTGGAAAACAAGTTTCGCTCACTTATCTCTCTTAGCCTCTTGTAGCCACATGATTTAACCACTCATATACAATAATCACATACAGTGGATATAAACAGTCTAAACCAGGGGTGCCCAAGTCCAGTCCTCGAGAACCCCTATCCAGCCAGTTTTACATGTTTCCCTCCGCCAACACACCTGATTCAAACAATCAGCCCACCAGCAAGCTTTGCAGAAGCCTGGTAACGATCTTGATCTATTTAGTGAGATGTGTCGGAGGAGGGTAAACACGTAAAATGGGCTGAATAAGGGTTCTCGAGGACCCGATTTGGGTATCCTGGTCTACACATCAGTGTTCAAAGGTTTTTGTGATGTAATAAATGACTCCAAGATGAATTATTTCAAAACTTTTTTTCCACGATTAATGTGACCGATGTAGTTAAAAAAAAAAGTAATACTGGTAAAAACAAATTTCCTGCCTATAAATTTTTTGTGGGGACGGAGGCAGAATTGTATACTGTACCTATAACCTGTATAACTCAAGAGTATTTGTTTTTTTCTCATTCAAATTGTTGTTTTTCATGTTTCTTGTGTGGAGCGTGCCTGTTAAGTGATGTCTCGTTGCACGAAAGTGTAATGACAATAAAGATTCATTCATTCATTCATTCATTCATTCATTCATTCAAATCCTCTTAAAGCTGGGGATGTGGCTATGTTCAAGTGCCTCTGATTATTTGAATCATTTGAAAAGGGGTGTGGAGACTTTTTTATGTCCAATGTACTGTGCAATGTTTAATGATGTGAAGATGATATGTGCATTACAGACATGATCCCAAAACTAATACTCATCTCCACCCATCCATCCATCCATCCATCCATCCATCCATCCATCCATCCATCCATCCATCCATTCATCCATCCATCCATCCATCCATCCATCCAGCATTTTCTAATCCACTTATCCTCACAAGGGGCGCGGGAGTGCTGTAGTCAACTCCAGTTGTCCTTGGGCTGTAGGAGGGGTACACTCTGAACTGGTTGCCAGCCAATCACAGGGCACACATAGATAAACAACCATCCGCACCCACACTCATACCAAGGGACAATTTAGAGTGTTCAGTTAACCTACCATGCAAGTGTTTGGAATGTGGGAGGAAATTGGAGTACCAAAACTAATACTGTAGTGTATTTTCCATTATTTTAGAATTTCTCAAAGGTCATAATAATGGTGGATGATATGTTAGTAATAATGAATAAAACATGTGGCACATGCAAAATTGCATGCCAAGTAATCACAATGTTCTTGTGTGAAATATATTAGATAACATGAGCATATACTGTAATATTAGATAACATGAGCATATACTGTAATATTATGGAGAGTGGTTTTGGGGCAGATGACTGAATGAAGAAAAATACATGTTAAAATTCAACTATTCGCATCACGACTAGTAGTCTTGGTTAAAAAAAAAGATTAACAATAGAGAGACAGAGACATTTCACAGACAAACACTTTTATTTCGAATTTGTTTTGTTTATATTGCAGAGCTCCTTGATATGAAGGATTCTTAAGTCGCCATTGCTATTGCAACTAGAGATCAGTGCAATTAGATAAATATAATGCTCATACGCTAAAAGGCAAGCATCAAACAGTATGATAAAAGGTATAAAGAGAAAATAGGCAGAAGCACACACGCACGCACGCACGCACGCACGCAGACACACACACACACACACACACACACACACACACACACACACACACGCATACACGCGCGCGCGTGCGCGCGCACGCACGCACGCACGTCCACGCAACCTCCAAGAGTGCACATTGAACCCAAATCCACAGTTACTACAAACCCATGTTAGGATACAGCACAGCTTTGTTAGAACAAGCAGTCTGAAGGGAGAGGCTGCAGTTTTTAGTCATGGTTGACGGAGGTGCCCCCAGGTCCAGGCTCTGTTCCTGTGTGAAGGGCCAGAACTCTGGAGGGGCGACAAACTCTCCAGAAAGCATCCCAAAAAATGGCTGGCACGGTGGGTGGCTGTAACTCTGGCCTGGCATGAAAGGGAAATGTGAAGGGGACGGGAGTCGCAGGGGGTACCAAGAGATGAGATGTGAGTCTGTATGGGAGCAAAGATCTCTTCTTTTATCCGACACGGGTCGCCTGAGTGGGATGTTTCTTTCAGTGGGTAATATGTCCGTGTTTTGGCTGTCCTCCTCTTCCAGCTTGCTGTCATGTTGTGTCACCTCTGTATTTTTGTCTTTGGAGAGAGGTATGCACCTTTGGCCTTTGCGATACTTTGCTCTTCTGTTTTTAAACCACACCTGAAGGGAAGAGACAAACACACAAATCTTAAATTCAACACAGATTATATTGTATATGTAGAGCAGGGGTAGGAAATGTGCTTGAGGTTAATTAGACGGGCACTGATGTCAGCAATAGTGTCTGGTGTGACATAAAATGGAGCAACATCACTTTCAACACAATGGGAGAAGTGCTGAATGTCGAATGACTGTGTAACCACACACCTCTTTCACGCCTCTGTTATGTCTCTGGTATTACTTCAGAAGGTGGGAATTTTCCCTCCCCCCCATTCTGTGTTAGTGGCGTTTAAAAAGAACAGCAAGACAGATAAAAGTTTTTTTGTTTTTTTTTTTCCAGGCAGTGTAAAAGAAACTTTAGGTAGCAGTGAGAGTTTGAACTTAATAATGCAACACTGGAACAATGCTTTAAAGAATTTTGAATGTTCTGTGTTAGTGGCGTTCAAAAAGAACAGCAAGACAGATAAAAAGTTTTTTTTTCGAGGCAGTGTAAAAGAAACTTTAGGTAGCGGCGAGCGTTTGAACTTAATAATGCAACACTGCAACAATGCTTTAAAGAATTTTGAGTGATTTTTTTTTTGTTTTGTTTTGAATTATGTTTACCTTTAATGTTCAAGATGCATGTTGTAAAAAGATACATTTTCAACAACATTAAATGCAAAATGGTAAATATGGCACAGTCTACCCAAGCGGGTCGTTTTATCATGTCACTGTCCAGTAATTATGTTTCCAAACATAACGAATAAGTATTGCTATATTAAATTGACCTTATACACCGTATCATCTGTATTCTTACAATAAAACAAGACTTCCTTTGAGGTATTTATTGTGACTTCTCCTGCCACTCCTCTTAAATGGAACCCTAATTTGCCCTCATAGGTAGCGCGTGTGTGCATCTGTCCAAGGAGTGATTGGCTACTGTACTGTGAAAAAGGTCAGGAGAACTACAAATGTGGTGCTGGCTGAAGATAAACCAATATTAGCATAAGTTAAAAGAAAAAAAAAAAAAGCAAGCCGTGTTGTCTGGAAGTTGACCTGAATGCGAGCCTCGGGCAAGTTGATGCAAACTGCCAGTCTCTCTCTCATGCTGATATCAGGGTACTGGGTCTGCTCAAAAGCTTTCTCCAAAGCCTGCAGCTGGGACACCGTGAAGGCCGTACGGCTGCGCCGCTGCTTCTGCGGATTCCCATAGCGTGCCTCCAGTATAAGTTCTGATGACATGGACAGAAATAATTTGATAAAAATCAATGTATTTTACAGAACTATGAATCATATTATTACAGTGTAATGCCAAAAAAAAAAACGTAATTATACTGTTGACGAACTTTGCATATTCTTTTTATGCATAATCTGAACCAGTTATACAGGTACAAACCCAAAAGTGTTGGGTCCATGACACACTCTACCATAATGACATTCACACAAGAACTAAATCCACATTTTGGTCTTTTCAAATGAGCGCTCAATTTAAATGAAATATTAATGTAACTACACTATGTTTATCACTGTGGCCATAGTGTAGTGAAGCACAACAGATTACACTGTAATGAGAACTGCAATATTTATAACATCAGGTACCATGTAGCAACTCCCCCACACTGCACCATTTCTCACCTAGTGACAATTCAAAGATGAATATTATTTTTCTCGAATTAAAATTTTGGGGAACATGGTGGACAGCTGGTGAGCACATTCAGTTGAAGAGCATTTGATAATTCTGCCTGTTATTATACGTGATTGGCATACACTGGAAAAAATGGTGCGTTGAATTTACTTACCGGTAATTTTATTTCGTCAAGTGATCGCACAAAATAAAGATAGCTACATAGTTTTAAGTCGACTATATGCCGCAATCCACACAAGGATGGGCAAACATAAACATGTTAACTCCACACAGTATGACCTGCAACTTGCCTTTTTTCATAGAAATATTATTTTTTGTGTCCACCATTTTATTTTGCGATTTTAACTTGGTAATGTGATTTGTAGTTTTAATTTAGTCATGTTATTAATCGTTATATTTTGCCTTGCATGTATGGTGCTATTAAATAAACTTGCCTTGTGTCACGCAATAGTAAAAACATGTATTAAATATTTGCATAAAACATTTGTAGGCCATAAATATAAAACACTATATGGTGCCTTCTTGTGCTGAGTGGGCTTAAGCCACTGCACAAACTAGTTCAGTGCGTGCCCTTTGTATGATCAAAATCTATTCAAAAATGCTTGATAAAGTCTAAGGCCACAAAATATCTTACTCACCCAAAAACAGGAATATTGTGTGAAAGTTCACCATTAATCTAAAATGCACCTTTACAGGTGAATTTAAATTGACCCTCTCGTAACTTTGAAATGCTTTTTTTGCACAACTTGCTGAATGAAGAAATTTAAAGACAGGTGTTGTTCTTAAGTTCCCAAGGATGTCCAATTGTATGCATTTCTCCAACTCTGCCAGGTAACTTGCCGATGACACTCGGTGACACTAAGTTCACAGTGGCCATTTCTGTCTGACAACATCCTGTCTGATGCCTTAGTTTACACAGCTCGAACTAACATTGCGGTACGGGGGGATGGGGGTATTATGTCAGCTGGGTATTTGCCTTCAAAAGTTTAGAAAAGGTCGAATTTGGTTCACTTGTAAAGGTCACAAACTGCATTTTAGGTTCATCCTGAAATTTCATATGGAAGCCCACTCTCATTAACTTTTTATAAAGTAGTGTTGAAAAACAACCAAATGAAACTCAATAAATAGGGCAGTCACAGAGCGTGCCTTCTTTTGCCATCTGACCGACAGGCATCTTTACGCCGTTCGTAACCTCATTACAGTATACTGTTTAGGTAGCGTCGTAAATCGAGGACCGTCCTTGTGTACATATCTGTTGTCGGGTTGACTACCTGCAAGTCTCTCGGCCACCGACAGGGTGCGCACCGCGGGGCTGGCCGTGGTGAAGATGTTGCTGTACTGTGGCGCCATCTGCTGGTGGAGCTCCAGCAGCATCGCAGCATTGACGCCATGCAGGGGGAACATGCTGCACAAATCCATCGAGGACATGTTCATTATATTCGGCAGCTTGTCCAGACTTTCACATACAGAAAAAAGACAGGAGGAAGGGGCCACTTCACCTTTTGTTTATGGAACATGCTAAAACCAATTCAAAATGCTAAGTAGTTAATCAAAGAAAATTAATATTCAAAGAAAAAAGATTTGACAAGGCAAAAAGTTAGTATCAGTGTGATTTTGTGAAGTATGTCTTGTAACTTCAATAATGGCATTATAGCTTTTAAATTTAAAATTAATGACAATTATAAATAAAAAAAAGTGTGGCAACATTTTATGAATATGAAACAATTTTACATTCATAAAATCTTTTTTAAATAAATGGGCAAGATATTCCACTAAACTTTTTTTCTTGGAACATTTTGATGCATGCATGTTTAATTCCGCCACTGGAACATAAAGCAGAAAAAATAATATTATAACAAGTCACAAATGGCACCTAGGCCTAATTAAGGACACCCTCGATCCAAGGACACATGGCAGTATCGCCTCATGAAAATTGAGTTTAACAAAATGCATTATCAAAAGGTGTAAACCACTTTTTAGGGTCGTGAATGGCACTCCAGGATGAATGAGATACAATTTCGGACCAAACATGCCAATGAAATGTTTTGTTTTGATTGTGATTGTTAAGAATGTGTGTACAGGTGGTTTACCTGAGATAGTAATCTTGTCTTTTTGAGGAGTTCTCAGTGCGGTGGCAGCGTATATCCCCAGTGCGGGAGCTCCCAGTCTGTCTCAGTTCCTTGCAAGCATTGTCGGCTTGCACTATTTAAGAAGCATTTAGCCAGGCTCCCTTCAACCATTAGCCAATAGAAAGAAAGGTATTAGCTGGGATTAGGTGGGATGAGGACTGAAGTGTGGGGGTGGCACAGGGCTCAAGTTTTTGAAACTATTGAATTTGGGAGATTTATGCCAAGGATCCCCTACAAGCGAGCGTTAAAACAATTAAAACAATGTGGTGGGCTAATCTCTGAGGCAGCCCGGATTAAAATAGCAGCCTTCCCCTCAGTCAGCCCTCTTTTCGTTCTCCCATCATGCTGCTGCCTTTGACAGCCCCCGCCACAATCCCCTCCTAACCTTCCCTCTTCCCAGGGGGGGTTTATTTTGCTAAGGCACACAATATTTCCCCTGGTAAACTGTCACCGTGTGAAGGTAATCCCAACTCAAACCTGTTGAGAACTTCTTCAAAGCAAACTCAATTAGGAATGTTCCCAGAGAGCTCAGAGCTCAGCACTGTAATACATGGCATTTTTCACTTTATATTCACCATGCACATGCATAGTTAGTTCATGTATCTTTCTGTTTCCATTGGTGGTTTGCTATTTTAATATGTTGGAAAACTTTTAAAAGTTAAAGACTTTCAAGGTTGCAATGTATGTTTTACATTTTACAAGAAATTTCATCTGTGCTGTATGTTGCACATTTGAGAATAAAGTTGTACTTGATACTTGATACACCCACAGGACACTTTATTAGGTACACCACCACAGTCGAAAGAGCTGCATCAAAAATACTCTGTGGTTACTTGAATATTTCTGTTACCTAATTTGGGTTCATGTGAGGAGCTAATAATTGGAAATACATAAAAGTGACAACCACTGCCAAGTAATTACATACTATCAGTATCTCTCTCTCTCTCTCTCTCTCTCTCTCTCTCTCTCTCTCTCTCTCTCTCTCTCTCTTTCTATATAAATGAACAGGTCTGTATTCGGTAAATAATGCATAATTGTGACGAAGATCAAAGTTTGGCGTTTATTGTCCTGCATTAAATAATTTGGTGTCAGAAACTATTCTTTAGACTGTAAAAAAAAAAAAATCATAATTTGTACTTATGTTAGAAAGTCAAGACCATTAAAAAAAAGAAACAAAACAGAATGGATTGGAATAAAAAGACTTTGCTGTCATTGTATGGTGCAGATACACCAGCAGTGGAGAGCATTTCTAAATTTGGGTTATCCAAAAAAAAAAAAAAATGAATAGAAGTATAAAAAATAAAAACTATACGAGCACGACTGGCCGTGTTTTTATGTTATGTGTTGTGTTTATTATTTACTTTATGTTAACTGTTTTGGAAAGCGCTTTGTTACAGCTGCAGCTGCTGTGAAAGCGCAATATAAATCAGGATGTATTGTATTGTATTGTATAAACTGTGCAGTGAAAATAGCAGTAATCCACAATACAATTTTATGCTGTATGTACAGTCCCCCTCCAAAAGTAGTGAAACAGAAAGATCAATTCCTTTTTGTTTTTGTACAATTATCCCTCATTTATTGCAGGGGTTAAGTTCCAAAAAGAACCTGTGATAAGCGAAATCAGTGAAGTAGTCATCTTTATTTTTACAATTTCTATCTATCTATCTATCTATCTATCTATCTATCTATCTATCTATCTATCTATCTATCTATCTATCTATCTATCTATCTATCTATCCCAAGGGTCGCGGGGGCTGCTGGAGCCTATCCCAACCATCTTCGGGCAATAGGCGGGGTGGTGGGTGCTGGAGCCTACCCCAGCCGTCTTCGGGCAGTAGGCGGGGGACACCCGAAACCGGTTGCCAGCCAATCACAGGGCACACACAGATGAACAACCATCCGCGCTCACACTCACACCTATAGACAATTCAGCTTGTTCAATCAGCCTGTCATGCATGTTTTTGGAATGTGGGAGGAAATCGGAGTACCCGGAGAAAACCCATGCAGGCCCGGAGAGAACGTGCACACTCCACACAGGGAGGCCGGAGCAGAGACTGAACTGTGAGGTCGATGCGCTAACCACTGGGCTGCCATATGCACGCACACATACACACAGGGGAAAAAAAGTAATAACCTTCCTTTGTTATTGACTTAGAGGGTGAAGACTAATACTCGCACTTCACTTTTTCCACTCACATAAGCAACAGCTCAGTCTTTGAAAATATGTGAATGTTTGTGGACTTTTTTTTACCCGCACCCCAACACACACACACACACACACACACACACACACACACACACACACACACACACACACACACACACACATGGCCTTTTTGTCTTCCTCCTTTCGCTGTTCCTGGCTGTCAAGCTATATTAGTGTCCAACAGAAATAAGTCATTTAGAAGAGGCTCTGTCGGCCAGCCCCTCAGCTCCACTAAAAGCTCCAGGATTAGGTCCCAGAGGCCTTTGTCTTGGCAGCCCGTAGGATTAGGAGAGATTTAGCGCAAGGAGAGAGAGAAAAAAAAGTAGTTATTTCATGGCACTTTCATGATGAAACCTGGCCAAAGCTGTGTTGGCTGGGGGGATTATAGGCACACAAAGAGTAGGCTTGTGTGTGACCCTCCCCATCCCAGAGCCACCAGCGCTGACTCAATTCGCTGCCACTGGCACCCCTTTCCCTCCGCCACCGTTTCCCTTTCGAAAGGCCACAAAGGTCTTGGCCGAGTTCACCTCGTAGCTGTCAAGTCTCTTCTCAATTCCCTTATGGGTTCAATGCTGCAAGTTCCCACATGAGCAAGTGAGAGCAGCGGTAATTTATAGTTTAGGAGCTAATTACTCGATGACAAGGTCACTATTTGCGCCTTTTCAAGGCTTCAGACTTGCCAAGCATGACATTGTTGAAATAATACATTCTTGTTCAGGGTTTCCCCAACCTTTATTGAGCCAATACAGGATGTCCCAAATGTCAGGACAAACTTCTTTTTCTACATTTCATTTCAGGTAACATTTGGACAGGTGTCAGACCATCAGCATTTGACATCCTATCATTGCCTTGCTCATGGCTTGCCGGTTGACATAAGGACCTGCGTTGCAAAACTGCTGCCTGGAAAAATGTTTTCTGTCCCCGGCTGCAATTTAATGCCAGTTTGAGAAGCTTTATGGACATTACGCTGCTTGAGTACAATTTTTAGAAGCAAGATCTTTCAGGTTGTTCAAAAGCTTCAAGCAGTTGATTATGATACTCGACAAGCTAAAGTCGCTATGGGTAAAGCGTTATCACTTTCGGAAGCATCCGCTAAATCAAGCTTTTATTGATGCTGAGAGATTCAGTGCAGCCATGAACAAAGTGACTGCTCTAGGAGTTTGGTGTTTTTATCAGTGGGTTGGCTGTTTTGAGAAACCTGCCGCCATATTGTTAATTATACTAAATGTTCAACAGTCATTAATCTCAAACTAGCACTGAAATGCTCTCCGGGAAAGAAAAACCTCGATCCAAGTGCTCCAATGTTAATCGGGAAGGCTTACAAAGCCTGAGCTGTCAAATATTGATGGCCACACGTCTGTCCAGATCAGGGGTGCCCAATACGTCGATTGCAATTGACCGGTACCCCGCGGACGAGTCCCGAGTCGATTGCGAAGGCTGTAGGGAGAAATGGTGAAAAAAAAGGAAAAAAGATTTGTGATTTGTGTGCCTGTGTGTGTGTGTGTTATTTATACTACCTATTTTTGTGTTTGGATGCTCAGGGTTATCAGTGTCACTTTCACCCCCCCCCAAAATAAATAAATAAATAAATAAATAAATAAATAAACAGGTCACCTTTAACCTACAGTGGCACATGACCTGCATCACCAGAAATTGTTAGCGGTCAGCAGTCTGCAATTGCATCTTGCAATTAGAGCTGCTGCAATATATCTTTTTGTATTATTGTTACTCTCATTCAGTTTGTTTCATCTGCAATTCACCAATGGCACTGGCAAAGAAAGGGAATCGGGAGCGCCAGGAGAGGCATTTTAAACGGTATATGTACATACGATAGTTTCTACACTCAACACAAAAGTGCGTCCCATGCTTCCACGTCAGGTCTCTTCTAAGGTAGGCAGTGATTTTCTTTTCACAAAGTCTTGTATATAATTTGTTGTTCTGTTCCTTTCATGTTTGGGGTTGTTATGGCTGTTGCTCATCATGGCATGTGTGCGCGTGCGTGCGTGCGTGCGTGCGTGCGTGCGTGTGTGTGTGTGTGCGCGCGCGCGCAAGGGTGCTTATTTTAGCAAGATAATGCCCAAGCACATTCAGCACGTGTTACAACAGCATGACTTCGTAGTAAAAGAGTGTGGATACAAGACTGGCCTGCCTGCAGTCCAGACCTGTCGTGCATTAAAAAAAGAGTGGCGCATTGTGAAGTGTAAAAAATATGTATACGGGACACACCGGACTGCTGACTAGCTAAAACTGTACATCAAGTAAGAATGGGAAAGAATTCCACCTTCAAGGCTTCAACTGTCCTCAGTTCCCAAACGTTTATTGAATGTTGTCAAAAGAAAAGGTGATACAACACAATGGTTAACATGACCCTGTCCCAGCTTTTTTGGAACATGTTGCAGCTGTTAAATTCATAAAAAAGTAAAGGATTATTTGCTAAACACAACAAAATGTATCAGTTTGAACATCTTGTCTTTGAAGGGTATTCAATGAAATATATATTGAACGTGATTTACAATTCATTATATTCTGTTTTTATTTATGTTTGACACAACATTCCAATTTCATTTGGAATGGGGTTTGTAGTTAACTGAACTACAGAAAGGAATTCATAAAAGAAAACTTTCTCAGAGTCCATAAATAAAGTGTTAGTCTTTGTTTTAGTTCTTTAAGTACAGTTATCTAATACAGCGCAGACAGGAATAAGAAGGGAGCTGGTGGCTAATATCCATGTCCCTCCTTTATTTTGTTTTCTTTTTTTTGTTAATGTCGCCTGTTTAACAGATGTTTTCAAAAGCAAGGTCCCTTATGTCTCAGCTTTCTATAATGAGTTATCAATAGTGGCGGGTTTTTTTTTATATTGAAAAGATCTGTCAAGAGGGGACCTTTTATTTGTCAGTAATCTGAATGCAAGGCCCCCTCGGACTGCGATCGGATCAATCAGCATGCGGAACGCAATTGAGGAGGGCAATGTTGGTACAGCAGCAGTTTGGCCGGAGAGCGGCGAGCGGGCGGAAGGAGCTAAAGAGCTCTTCATGGGGGGAATCGATTAGGTCGGCTGGCCTTTGACCTGAGACGCAGTGGAAGAGCAGGCGGGTGGGTCAGTGGGTCTTAAGCAGCCAGTATCATGCTGTGAGCTCTGACACTGGCGATGACACACTCCAGGCTTAGGCTGACATTGGCTGAGTGTACACACATACACAAACACCATTGTATGAATGTAGGTTCAGGATGTGGATTCAGGGACAAATAATAATAAACATCAACGTCACGCATCAACTTTGTCAGGTGGAGTGTAATGGGTTGAATGTGAAGAATTACACCCATTAGAAATGTTTGTTTTCTAATCCTGATCCCTATTACTTTCCAATTAGCTCCTTACAATGTGTTCAGCCCCCAAGAGCTTAACAAAGCAGATCAATATGGGAGGCTGAGTCGAGATCAGTCTCTTAATTGGCAGCACAGAGTGCGAGATTAAAGACTAGTTTAAGGGATGTGCAACAATCACTCTAATGGGGTCAACTTAAATAAAGAATTGCGACGTGAATGTGGCCCCCCTCTGTATGTACATTACGGCCTTCCAGCTGCACCCACTGATTAAAACATTTTATATATATATAGAGAGAGAGAGAGAGAGAGAGAGAGAGAGAGAGAGAGAGAGAAATACACGATGCTGTGAAAAAAATATTTGGCCCCTTTCTGATTTCTGTGTTCATTACATATTAATCACACACAAAGGTTTGAGTTCATCATCTGGCAGACAAATTGAAGTAGGCTACAAGATCTCAAGAAACACATACATCATTCCATGATCCAGAGAAATTAAAGAAAAAAAAAACGTGATTGAAATCTATCCATCTGTTAAAGGTGACAAAGCCATTTCCAAGACTCTGGGTCTCCGGCAAACCACTGTCACAGCCATTATCCACAAATCTTGAAAACTGGGAACAGCGGCAAACATTTGCAGGAGTGATCGACCAGCTAAAATTACTCCAAGAGTGCAATGACGACTCATCCAGGAAGTCGCAAAAGAACCTGGAACCACATCCAAAGAATTCCAGACCTCAATGGCCTCAGTTCAGGTCAGTGAGGTCTGAAGTTCTGGAGCATAAAAAAAGACTGGCCAAAAATGGCATCCATGGGAGAGTTCCCGGGCAAAACCCACTGTTGTCCAAAAAGACACTAAGGCTCGTCTCACATTTACCAAACGACACCTTGATAATCCTCAAGACCTTTGGAAAATCACTCTGTAGACTCAAGAGTCAAATATTTAACTTTTTGGAAGATATGGGGCCCCTTACATCTGGGGTAAAAATGGCACAGCATCTGATCAAAAGAACATCATGCCAACAGTGAAGCATGCTGGTGGCAGTGTGATGGTCTGTGGCTGCTTTACTCCCTCAGGACCAGGACAACTTGCTGTGATTGATGGGACAATGAATTCTGCTCTCTACCAGAAAATCCTGAAGGGGAATGTCCGAATATAAATGTGTGCCCTCAAACTCAAGCGCTAATGCATCATGCAGCAGAACAATGATCCGAAACACACCAGCAAGTCCACCTCGGAATGGCTTAAAATAAATAAATAAATGAATAAATACAGCTTCTGCACGTGCGACCTAAGTGGGAGAGAATGGATGGATTTTACTTTATTAATTTTAGTATGATTAAACTTATACTCATAATCATTAATACTTTAATTTAAACTTTAAATAGCGGTTAGATAAGTAGTCACAATCGTCAGTATTTTAGATTGCTCCATCACATGATGAAAAAAAGTTCAGTCAAGTTTTTCTTTGCTCAGGCTCACGCAGAGACAATTGAGCTCTCCCTCCCTCAGCATGGGGTCCATTTCAGAGCCCCCACATCGACGTGACCCACACCACTCAAAGGTGATCGGGGAAGAGAGGGTGAGAGAAAGGCGAGCATTGATCGAATTTGATAATGAAGACGACCCCTCTAAGCTGCTTTGCTCCACGCGTTGAAGAAATCCTCTGCAACAGTCAATACACACTAGGAAGCCCCCCTCGCTGTCACCGCAACATTGCGTCCCTATTGATCCCAGCTATCTGGCTCTTTTCATACCTGGGCTCTCTGGCCCAGCCGGGGGAAATGCATCCTGACATGCGACGTGAGGAGCTTAATCGGCAAAGGATGGGCCTCTCACTTTAGCCTTTCACTCCCATTTGTCACATCTGCTGGAGAAAGGAGGTTTACAGCAGTTGCACCTGCTGTTGAGAGGACATGCGGTCAGGATGGCCGCACTTCAAGAGGTCGGTCCTGCGCTGTACTTAGATGGCGCTGCCAACTATTTCTGCAAATCAGACAAACAAAGACTGATGTTTGTTTTTTTAACGAATACCCTTTTAATAGAAAAGAGAAACAACCGAAAATACAGAAATACAAAAGAAAACTGCATAGAGCTTATTTACAGCAGTCTGTGTGGTCATTATTGAACTAACATAACAGGGCACCTCATAGAGACTGAATATACTTGTGCAGGCCAATGATACTTAACTAAGAAATGTATGTTACCTGATATTCTATTTCATGCACAGCACATGGCAAAGATGGTATTGAAAAGTACAGTGCCTTTTGTGTAAATGCATTAAATAGTTTGGAGCAAACACAATGTGTTTCCTGAATATGATCAAGTATGAGAAGTTAAGTCATTTGAAACAATTCGACTCTTACAAACAGGACGTCGGTGCAATGTGGAAAACCAGCAAGTGCATTTCCATGGTAACGTTCCAAGAGACCAAGAGAGCAATGCACTTACGTACAACAAGGAAAAAGTGACTTTCTTACCACTGGAAATGAACGCATGTTAACACAGATGAAGAACTCGCACTTGAGACGCGTCAAGAGCTTTCCTCGAGTACAATTTAGCCTGCCATAGAAACGATAACAATCCTCCTCGTCCTCCTGTAGGCAACACAAGTCTTTTATTCTCCAATTGTTTGAGGCCGTGGGCGTCAGAACGGCTTCAAGAAACCGACAAACAAATGCACTTTGACTCACACACAAATGAGGACTGAATTATAAATATAAGTAACACTGATAATGGGGGCTCCTATTGCTGATCTCCATTAGTGGCGAGAAGCCACAACAAGAGGTTCTTCTGGCCTGTTTGTGCTCAAAACTGGGCTGAACTGCCTTAACATCTCCAAATGCCCTTCCTCGGCGTGATCTTCGGCCTGAAGGGGTGGCGTGAGGTCATCTTTTGACTTTTGCATCCTCCTTCAGCTTCCATATCATCAGTTCCATGCAGGCGGTGGCATCTTCACTCGAGTCGTGGCCATCAACTGTAAAAACAGAGAGTGTGCTGCTTTTAACCAGGTTGGAAAATATCATGTAATGTATTCAACACTTAAGAAATCTATGAAGTAATAAGGCCTTCCACGCCATGTTTTTTTTTTTCCTTTTTAAAAAAAAGCATGCACTGGTGACATCTACTGGCAACATTTAGCAGTCAGAATTCTGGCCTTGAAGCTTTACCCAAATTATTCTCAACACTATGAACACACGCACCTCCAATCTAAAGAGATTCAACATAATTGTTGCATGAAAAAAAAAAAAAAATCATTTATGAAGATTATAGTGCTCGATTTTGACTGCCACTCTCGGGGGGTATTCTTTGTAAGTTGTAGTTTGCAGTATTGTGCTGTACTGCATCATACTGAGCTGTTTCTAATATTTTGGTTACCTTAGTGACATAAGAGTGTCAACATTTTAAGATACAGCTGTTTGATGCAGTGAATTAAAGAGATGTTCAAATGAAATAATAAGCATTTCTCTGTTTCGCTGTTTTTAATTCACTTTTGCTTTTATTATATTGCAGAATACAATTCTATATTTTGAAGTGACTAGCGGCATATTTCCAGCCTCTTATTTGGTAAAATATTTACACACGCTCGTAGCATGATATGGCCATATGGCTTACTGCGACGTGTGACAAACAAGGTTATTATAGTTTTAAATTTTTCATTATAGTTGGGTTTTTTTTTCATTTTGAGATGTTTGTTTTTGAAAGAGTGCCAGTTTAAATTAGTTTTCAGGGCAGGTTTGTCAGTTTTCATTAGTTTTAGTTTTTTTTTTCCAAAATGCTTGATTTTCATTAGTTTTAATGTAAAAAAAACAAAGACAAAAAAGAACAACACCCTTAAGTATTGTGTGTAAATTGGCTTAGTAGAAAACAAGATACCAAAAACACGTGATTAGCAAATAGCCGAATTCAAGCTGTAAACATGAAGAGTCGTCAAGTCAACAACAACTCGTCCGACTAAACAATTTAACCACTACATCACGGTGACGCATTTACACGTCTAATTCTCTGTTTTAACTACTCAACTTCCCTGTGTTTTGTGATAATGATGATCACTGTTAAGTAATCAAGAAGATACGGCATTATAAAGCTCAGTGCAGTCAAACACTGCGGCTAAGTCTGTGCAACTTCTCTCACCGCCGTCCTGGATGATGCGTTTGAGGTAGTCGGCCATCAGATTCCTCAAGGCACGTTTGTAGGGTAAACCAAGTCGGTGAGGAAACACGATGGCTGTGTCTACCACTGAACTGTGAATGAGCTGAAATGGATAAAGGCAGAAACGGAGAATGGCAAATGTTTTCATTATCAGCTTGGAAAAAAATATATCATCCCATCTTAATTTGGATGAAAGGCAGACTACATATCCTGTGCTGGTGGTCAACCAGTCACAGGGCACGTATACACAAACAAAAGACCGGCATTCACACTCAAATTCATAACATTTTATAAATGTGCGCACGTACTGTTTTCGCACGTACAGTTTTCCGCACCAATATGTGATTCATTCAATACCTTTGGCTTGAATTTGTGCATACTCTGCAAACAAATTTAGAACAGCCTCAGAAAATGCGTACGCACAAATAATGATGGACCAACTTCGGAAAAAAGGTAAGGAAAAAAAACAACACATTTTAACCAATATACACAATGTAGTGGCATTACAGTCATATATAAAAACTAAGAATAATTTTAACAGTCAAAACTTAAATCGAGAATTTGCTAATGAGTTGACTAATGTCTGAAATAAACATAAAAAGGACACTTTTACCTTCGTTCCGTTCAAGTGCTTATAAGTGTTTCTGTACTGGACAGTATATTAGTCTATCTGCTGTCTGTTGGATGCTGTCACTCAGGAGCAGACCACACGAGTACGCTGGACCCGGAAATCAATTGAGCCGCTCGAACTCAGTTTTCATATCGATTCAGTAGACGGGTATGAATCTCATCAACTACAACTGCCTCTTTGCTGTGCTATATTTATCCCTTAGTATCTATTTTAACAGGCTGTGCAGTGTCTATTGATCGCCTCATAATTTATTTGTTCTATGCATGTTTTGTGTCCAGTATTCTAATATTCAAAATTAATTAGTAATGATCGCCATCATTGTTAATATTGTCAGGTTCTGTGTCTCAACTAGCTTTCCGATGATATGATATGAACCTTTTGAAAATAGGTTAAAGATTGAGAACGCTATGAATGGCTCTCCAATTGTTTTCTTTCTTTTTTTTATTTTTTATTTAATAACCTCTGCCCATTGGCTGAGATCCGTCAAAGGAATGTCTTGTTTGGGAAGAAAATGGGTGTATGTTATGCAAATTAGGGCACTGCAGGCACATGCTGTAATTTAGGATTAATTCCGATTCATCAACATACTCACTAAAAGTCTATCCATCAAAATGGCATGCACAATATATTTACAATATTCATTCATCAAACAAAAACGCTAAACCGTTGTATGTATTACTACTATCATGACTGACTACAGTATGTCAAACTCAATAAAATGTGCTACCAAATGTGGGAGCCTTTACTGCATATTCAATAAAATGTTTAGCTCACAGTCGATTTTGTCGCTTTGATAGAGTGACATGCCAATGCTGATTTATATGAGTCACTTCTGGTGACTTGCACATAGCCAATCAAATTATATATGTTCATAAAAAAATAAAAATTAAAAAAAAGATTTACTTTGAGAGCCAGGAGGTCACTCTCCAGGCTGTGTCCCACCAGGATGGACTCAGCACTGAACAGACTGAGCAGCACAGCCTGAACATCTCTCAAGGTGATGGTGGCACCATCCAAGTCCTCTGCTGTCACGCCAGAAAATCTGTCAAAGAACAAAAACAAGTGGTTCCTTCACAATACTGTTTTACACCGAACAGATCTTCACTCCAGTACCAGCAAAATTCACAATTTAGGGGACAAACACACCGTGTGTTGAAGTCAACCACTTTGCTCTCAGGTTTGACAAACGTGTCGTAGATGACTTTTAAGTCTGAGTTTATGACCGTTACTCTTGTCAGCTCCAGGCCTTGCTTCGTGTAACACTGGTTGACAAGAACACAAAACAAGGGAAAGAAACATTTCGGATGAGAACAACATGGCAGTGTGTCATTCGAGAAGAAATTCATTTTGAGTTACTCCATGTGACCGACCATCTCACAATCCAAGGCAAACACTCCTCCGTTGCCATCTACCGGGAGCTCTTTGCTGAACGTCGTTACATAGCCATCTGATGACTCCTTACGCCCATCTTGAACATGTTGCTGTGGAAACGTGCAGTGGGGAGAGATTCATCAAATAAATGGGGATTCATTTACACAATTAAAAATACATAGAAAGGCTCTTTGAATTGGCTTTGAAATGTTCATGAGGGTTTTGCATGTTGGAAGATACCTGGGCCGTTTGGCAGCCTGGAGAGCCCACGGCCGCGGCGCAGCAGCTGTACATGGTCTCCCAGCCTCCAGCCACTGCCACAACAGGACAGAGAGAGGGAGTTGATGGAAACATGAGTGATCACCATTTTACATGGATGAATATCACAAACACCTTACCCTTCTGCCTGCGCAAACGTCCCCAGTGGAAAGCGCATTCCTCTTTGCGAAGACAGTTACCCATGGCATTGACTTTATACTCAGCACCGCATCTGCAGCATATCTTGGTGAATGCTACAAACACATTCAAGAGTATTTAGTCGTCTGAAAGACCATGGACAAAAAGCACGGGAAAAATAATCTCATCTCCCACTCAAATCTAATCTCACACTTGCGCTGTATATAATCCCTGGCAAAAATGATGGAATCACCAATCTCAGAGGATGTTGGTTCAGTTGTTTAAATTTGTAGGGGAGGAGCAGTTCACACACATGACACAAAACTAAAGTAATTTCAAATGGCAACTTTCTGGCTTTAAGAAACACTAAAAGAAATCAGGAAAAAAGATGTGGTAGTCATTAACAGTTTCATTTTTACAACAAGCAAAGGAGGGACAAAATGTGGAACTGCTAAATTCTGAGGAAAGAAAAATGATGGAAGCAGGTGTTATGGAATCATGGAATCACCTTGAACTTGCCAAAACTAACACCTGCATCAGATTAGATAAACTTCTACAGATACTTACGGTCCATGATGACCTTCTTCTCTGGGAGGTTGCAGAGAACAGCCTTCCCAACAGCATTGGGGTTTATTCGAGGGTATCCGTGTTCCTGCAGCTGCTCCTCTGTCATTAGATATGCCTTCAGCTTCCTGTAAAGTGCAGCTCCTAAAGTGTGGCAAAGCAAAATGTTCAATTTGTGAAGAAAATAGACTGAGCTGGATTGATTTTGAGCTGGTTTGGGTTGCAGACTCATTCTGGTTGGATTGCAGCATGAAGAAATAGATTGATTGTGCATTGCGATAGGCAAGCCAGACACTGGTAATAAGCAGAATCTTTACTGAAAATTTGGCAAGCGCAAATATAACCTAAAAATAGATTTTTGTACACTGGGGATAAATGCGGAGAAAAACTATTTGTATTTACAAAAACAAAGTACAATGATTTGTAAATGATGTTCAACCTACATTTAATTGAATACACTACAAAGGCAAGTTTAAGGTTCAAAGTGATTAAATGTTTTGTTTTTGGCAAATAAACATCAACTAAACGGCTGTAACACGTTCTTAACAAGCTGGGACGGATGACAAAAATGAGCTAAAGCCATTTATCAACACCCAGAAACAGAGCTGACTTCGCTGGGCCAGAGCTCATCTAAAATGGACTGATGACAAGGTGGAAAGTGTGGTCTGACGAGTCTACATTTCAAATTATTTTGGGAAATAGTAGACGTGGTGTCCTCAGGGCCAAAGAGGAACAGAACCATCCAGACTGTTAGAGACACAAAATTCATTAGCCAGCATCTGTGATAGTATGGGGCTGTGTTAGTGCCAAAGGCATGGGTAACTTCCACATTTGTGTACTGTACCATTAATAGTGAAAGGTTGATCGAGGTTTTGGAGAAACATATGCTGCCATCCAAGCATCAGGGAGACCCCTGCTTATTTCAGCAAGACAATGTCAAACCACATTCTGCACGTGTTACAACAGCGTGGTTTCGTAGTAAAAGAGTGCAGGTACTCGAGTGGCCTGTCCACCATTTAAAATGTGCAGCGCAAAATTAAGCGTAAAGTACGACAATGGAGACCCCCGGACTATTGAACAGCTCGAGCTGTACATCAAGCATGAATAGGAAATAATTTCACCTACAAAGCTTCAACAATGAGTCCTCAGTTCTCAAACGTTAGTGAATGATGTTAATCCATTGCACTTGTGAGTTTTTGGACAGCTTCTGTTTGAATTTCTTTCCACAATGTCAGAATAGCCTCCGAGGGCTGATGCTTGGATGTCAACTGCCTCCCAACCTCATAGATGTTTTGCTTGACAATGCTTCAAAGGTTCTCAATAGGGTTGATGGTCAGGGGAGGATGGAGGCCCACAGACAAGTTTCTCTCCTTTGATGACAATAGCATTCCATGATACACAGGGTTTTCTTGCAGCATAAGACAGCGCATTGTCGTGCATAAAGAGGACTTTGTTTCACAAAGTTCTGTTGTTTATTTCTTAGCATCAAAGAAAGTAGTCAGTCTGATACTCCAAATACCTTTCTGAGGTTATTTTCACACCTTCATGGACCCAAAGGTGGCCAACCAGCTCTTTTGCCTTATTCCGACTCAAAATATTACCGCTACCTCCATGGCAACGTTGCATCCTTTTTGGGAAATGTTGGCCATCCACCAACAATATACAATTCCATCCATCCTGACCATCCAGGGTTACATTACACTCACAAGTGAACAAATTTATCCTGCAGGGAATACCTTGGCATCATTGGCTGCTATGGGCGTAAAAGGGAGAAACTCATGATATGGTCCCCATCCTACCCTGACCTCAACTTTGTTCAGAACCTTAGGAACATCCTCAAGCAAATATCTAGGAAGTTGGACAGTTCACATCCAAACAGCAGCTTCGGTAGGCTATTCTGATACCCTGCAAATAAATTCATGCAGAGAAGTTCAATGGGTGCAAGACTTGTAAAGCTGCTATCAAATAAGAGGTGCAATGTTAAAATGTAACATGACCTTTAAGATGTTTTTAATTGAAATAGCTTTTGATTTCCGCAAATACAACCTCCTGATGCTGGCAATTCAACAAATCACTACTTTTAGTTTTTTTTTTTAATGACATATAAACTGCCTTGAAAAACTGCTGTGCTTGATAATTTGAAATTGTGAATTCGAACAAAATCATTTTTTATTTAACAAAAAAAAAAAACACTCATTATTGGGAGGTTTGTTTAAAAACATTCAAATGATTTTCATAACAAATGATGACTTGAAAATTGTGATGACTGCCAATTGCATTAACTAGTTAAAAAAAGCTGACAAAAAGATAATAATTTGCACAATTTGGAATGCGTTGTAAATTTAGTAGTCAGGAAAGGAGGAGATTCTTTTTGGCATTGTAACGAATGGCGTGTATACAAATTGTGTGGCAGTTGAATCTCTGGAGAGCCTGCCCATCTCTCAAGTGTGAAATGTAATTACCAAGTAAATCATTGGGGTTTTCCCCCACCTATTTCTAAAAATGTGTCTATGATTAAGCCAATCTGCACTTCCATCTCACTCTGAGGTAACAGTCAGGCCACCGGCCTACAGTCTGACACACTATCTTGCAGAGGCACTATCATACTTAAATGTCCAATGTCATGAAGCCACCTGAGAAGTCACTGCATAAAACGATCAAAAATGTCTCCTTTAAAGAAATTGGGCAAAAAGGAATTCTATTGCAGTCAATTAGAAACAAGGTGGATAAAAGCAAAACCCCTTACCATTGAGCTTCTCTTCTTGCTGTTTACCCATCCTATTGACAGTGAAACTGGTCGTAGCTGCAAGACGGCCACCCAGAACTTCCTGGTGAGACTGTGCTTTCCGGTAAGCAGGTAAACCTGCCTCCTCTGTAAAGCAACATGGATATATACGTTAGAGTACAAACAGAGCTATATTCCCTGCTTAATAATCGTGATACATTCAGCACACGGTACATGGTGTCCGCTATTAGTGTACGTATATGTAGGACTGTGCTGACATACTGATGGCAGGCGAGGAGCAGGGGGTGCTGTTGTTACGGAGCTTGTTCAGCATGTTCACAGCCACATTGACATAGATTTTCTTGCTGTTACTGCGCTCATATACCGTCTTTTCCTTATCAAGGCCCTGGCAAGAAATAACAGCTTTCAATCGACAAATTGTGGCAGGAAAACACTGTCATCAAGGAACATGACACAACTAAACCAATTGAGATAGCAGCTTAGAGTTTCATGACAGTCCCACCATCTGGAAGGCCATATCCTCTGATGGGCAGAATTTGATGCACTCGTCTATGAAAATGTTGAGGTAGCGCTGGCGAATCATGGTCGGGATTTTGGCCCCAAACTCCATGGGGATGATGGGACGCTTCATTGAAGAACTCTGAGGGAACACAGGGAGTGTTTTGGCATTGGAGCACATTTAACAGATAAAATACCCATTATTAAGTCTCATTTTCACCACCTGATTTGAGCGTTTGAACAATCAAAAGTTGTTAGATTACACTTAGGCTGGGTTTACACTGCATTGATCAAGTGGCAATTGCAATTTTTTGCTCTCACGCGGCACAATATCTCCTGGGGGCAATGTATATACGACATTCTAGAGGTTAAATACCTTCATAGTGGGTGTGTGAGCCACTCGTTTTTGTGCAACGGTGGATGTGGTCTTTGACAAGATACCGGCTGTGGTTTGGGTCTTAAGAGGCAGGCTACCAGCTGGCGCAGCATCTGAACAACCTGCCCAAATATTAAGAGCAAGGAATTTTAAAAACACTCAAAATAGTCTCGTCAAACATTTCTCTTGGATTGAATGATATGAAGATTCAAGGGGGAGAGCACAGGTACTTTTTCACAACTTAACCAACAATAGGAATAAACGGTAATTACATACTTGTCTTTGAGGATACTGTCAATGGGTTGGGACGGTGTGCGATCCGCTTCTTCTCTCCTGAAGACCTGGGGCTGGGTGTGCTCTCTGAGGGTGGTTTGACTGAGGCAGAAAGGTGAGCAGCTTGCTGCTGCGCCATCTGCATGCGCTGATAGCAAACCTCCTGAGCCGTGAGTCTCCGGTACGGCCGGACCACATTCTTGGAAGGTGCGTCGGTCTGACAAAGAGGAAAAACAAGGAAAAGCTGTTCACATAATTGATGGTATTTGATTCAAAACCAACTTTTTCCTGTCAATGGAACAAAAACAAATTAGTTACGATATCATATTGGTTCAGGTTGGACAAGCGACCGGATGGAGTTGACTTACTCTTAGCTTAGTGCGTCTAACAAAGCACAGAAACTATGTATTACATTTGAAAGGATTGTACCGTTTCCAACATAAATCAGTACATTCCCTTTAAAAGGTGTGTTTGATGTGGAAGAACTTGAATTACTGAGCTCAAGCTCCATCAAAGGACTTTGGGATGAAGAATACCGATTTTTGATCAATCTCACAAAAATCCTTCGGTACAAATGTATAAACATTCACATACACACGCCCCAACATCTCGTCAGCAAATTCTTCCCAGAAGAAGGGAAGCGGTACAGTAGTTGGAAATGGCGGGCCAACTGCGCATTTTATTACCGAATCAGTATTTGCAGCTGTTTCAAATAACGTTTTATCCATCGGGTGTATTTTGAATGACATCCCATCATGCCAATCTTTCCTTGTTTAAGTCTCACTTCAAAAAAACAGCGCTGCGATGATCAGGACTGCTTCTCGGCCTTGATGACTCCCCTGAGCAATGTGGATTTGAATTAAGAAATCATTTGTAATTGAAGTGATTTAAAAGAGGGGTTCTCAAACTTATGGGAGACATTTTTTCAAGGAAGCCCCCATAATGTCCATGAAAAAATAAATGTACCGGTAACTGCATGTGTGCCCCTCAATGCTACTGGAATTTAAAAATGCCCTGTTTTTAAGAGAAAAGTTACAGTTCTGATTTGAGAAAAAAAAAAAATGTAAGTGAATCGAAGTTATTAATCTTTTGAAAATGATGTCTTTCTATGATAAATTCAGAATAGCATAATATTAAAGTCAACGTTTCACGATCATATCAACTTAATTCTCAGAAAGTTCTTTCCTTATTTGGTAAAAGACATTCTTTTGTTTTCAAAAAGAATAATAACAAATACTTTTTGGGGGAAGGGGCGGGGGAACAAAAAAGGACTTTCCTGGAATAATATTCTTTTTGTTCTAAATAAATAAATAAAAATGTCGTCATGCAGATTTATGTGATGGTCCTCTCGGGAAAGAATTACTTTCCCCAAGGCATCTATCTACCGATGGTGCATCATCCTCATTCAATGGGTTCTCGTGCAGTTTTAGTTAGCTTTGTACAGCACCATATTATCTGTTAAATGTTGCCCTCTTGACCTTCATTACAGCCACTTCATACAGGAAGGGGGATCCCTTCATCTGTGGTCCCTTCTCAAGGTTTCGTCTTTTTTTCCCCCAAATGGGGGTTTTGAGTTTTTCCCTGTCAGGTTGGGAGGATGTCGCTAAGCTTTGTCTACTGTGGGCTTGGGAGACATTTTGCGATTATGGACTATATAAGTGAACTTGACTTGATAATACAATACAATCATATGAGAGCATTTAAGTGAGCCATACCTAAGGTAGAGGTGAATAATTAGTTATTAACTCTTTCATTCCACAAGACGTACTTGTATGTCTTTTTATAATTAGGCCCCGCCTACCAAGGACGTACTTGTATGTCTAAGTCTTTTTTTTTGCATCATAGAGAGGAGGAGAGTCTGGTGCAATCTGTGAATAAGAATAAGCCGTTTGCATTGTAAATCATGTAAAAAAGCGACCAGTAGGTGGCAGTGGTGCCTCACGTGATTGAAATGCCTGCTTTTACAAAAAGCTCTTTTTTCTCCGTTTTTTTGCCCAGGAATCGCCATTTCCATAAAACTTAGCCATTTTGTAATGCCGATTGCTGAAGAATGGAAAAAGATGGAAACAAATGTTTATACAGCATTAGAACCAAATATTCTGTGGGCCTTGCGAGATCAGTCAAAATCCAGTAAAACGCTGGGATTGAGGGGCTTGCTCCAGTGAAAATGGCTGGGATTGAATGAGTTAATACTCACTTTGTTTTATTAGTTGGCTCATCCTCAAATGTAAACACACTTTTTGTAATACATCCTAATTCACTGCAAAATATTTTGCAGATGCTTAAGCGAGGGCCCGCATTTTGGGAACAAATGGCTAGAACGGGGCTCACATGATTGGGAAAGCAATGGGGGATGAGGTCCACTTACACTTCCTTTGGCAGCAAAGTGTGAGACTCTCTTCTTCTGACCAGGGAAGAGAGTGGTTAAAGTGCTCTCAGTGGTGTCCTCCTCTAAATCTCTGGATGGCTGACAGCACACACACAACATGAACATGTTTACACCAACCGTTTGACCAATACAATCAACATAGCAAATGTTCGGTAAGAGCGCTACCTGCTTAGCTTGCCTTCCCTTGTCTTCCTTCTTGACATCCTTAGATTCATTGAAGATCCTGAAACACTCCTCCAAGGGATCTGAGTCAAAGTCCAAATCAACCTGAAAAAGTGACAAGTCTATCGCAGCGTCTTTATTCGTCCCGCTCCCTTCCGCGACTCTGTCATCTTCATACTCAGAGGAAGACGGAGTCACCTCCGAGGCTTTCCTCTTATTTAGTTGTCCCCTCTTCAAAGCGTCCGCAGATTTCCTCATGAGTACTTCTTCCGGATCGTCATCGCTATCATCCACCACGATCGGTTCTGCCTCCTCCGCGCTCTCATCCCCAAAAAGTTCGGCGTGACTCAGAGTTCTTTCTTTCTGCTCCAGGCTTCTCACCTTTTCACTGCGCTTCATTTTACCTTTGCTGAGTTCGGAAGCGGCTTTGCTCTTTGCGCTGGCGCTAGAGGAGCTGCTTTTGCTAAGTTTCTTTCCATCCTTGTCTCTTTTACTATCGTCTAATTGACCATTTTTATGTTTCGTCTCCTTCTGCTTGCTTCGCTCCTTGTCTGAAACCTTGCACTTGCTGCTTTCCCTTGCACGGTTCTCGGTGTCCTTACCTCGTTTGCTGGAATTTGTTTTTGGATTCATATTCCCGTCACTTTTTTTGTGTTCTTTATGAACTTTATCAGCAGTCTGAACTTTAACAGTGTCCTTTCGGCTATCATAGTTCTTCCCATGACTCTTGTTTTCCTTTTTTGTCGGGTCTTTTTGCTGAGACTTATTTAGTGACTCTTTGCCCTTATCCTTGCTACTTTTTTTGATAAGAGATGTGTGGCCTACTTTAGCTTTCTCCGACTTCTCAATTTTTAACTTCTTTTTCTCTGGGCCCATCTTCTGCTCCGAACGTTCCCCTGTCTCCAAGTGCTCCTTATTCCTATGCGCCAATGATTGGAGGGTACCCTTAGCCCCCTCTTTCCTCTCCTTCGCCATACTGTCTCCAACTTTTGTCATGCTGTTGGCTTTTCTCTGCTGAAGACTACTGAGCGAAAGGGGTTTGTACTCGGTTCCAGAACTCTCGCCATCAGATTCAGAAAAAGTGTACTTGTTTGTGTCGACGCTCTGTCGCGGGGTTTCTCTCACATGCGGCACGACATCATCTGATGCGGGGTGTCTATATGTCTTTTTACCCTCCACAGTAATATTGCACGCGCTGCCATTTCTCTTGCGCTTTACTGCGATCCCTGCAGAGTAGTTGGAAAGTGGGTCATATTCCATGTCTGTAGATGGCCTTGAAGTATCTAGAGTGTATTTACAAGAGGAGGAAGATGTCCTGGTTGAGTACTTAGGACTTGGGGGCAGAGAGGTGACTCTGTGTGCATTTGTCCGCGATGGATTCTTTTTTAGCAAAGTGGGAACATACTCCATACAGTTGCTATTGCTTCCCCGACTGTCCGAATCCAGAGTGTACTTGCTGCAACCAGGGGTGGGGTTATATCCTCCTGATGTCATCTGATAACTGCCAGGATCGTACGGCAAGTGTGTAGCTGCTGCTTGACCTTTAACACCATCAGAGGAGGACGCAATTGCTCTTCTACTGGGATTATATGATTCGTCCCCAATTCGAAAGAGCTTCTTCTTCTCCCTCTCCACTTCATTGCGGACCTCCTCGATGGCCTTGTTGACCATCTCCAGAGCACCGGTGAGGTCTCCCGAACGAGGCGAAGTTCCATTCTGATGCTCTTGAGGCCTCACAACTTCAGGTTTGAAAGGGTCATAACCTTGTTCTGCAGTAAGACAGTATGGCACGCTTAGAATCCAACACAAAAGATTATTCATAATGTCCACATGCCACAATAATTGCTTTCTATTACAATTCTCAGATACAGCTTCATAATCAAAATTAGGTTCAGTGAAAACGTTATTTTTTTTTTTTTTTTTAACCAGTGGTGAGCCGTCACCGGCAAAGCCTTCTCTACTGACGCACCGACCTACATTTACAACCTCAATCGAATCTTCGTTCCATGAAATTGAATTGGTTTATTCCCATCAGTCTATTTTCTTCATTTCATAGCATTTCTTTTGGCTGCACTGATTCCAATACCTGTAGGCTATGTGGATGTGAAGTGTTTTTGTCCAATCGGTGCTTCTATGTTAAACCGGGCTGGTCAGCGTCACTTAAACTGTATTAGTCATGGTGTTGTTTGCTTAATTACCATTCAAATTTCAAATACACCTCACAGGGCCAACTAACTGACTCACAGTGACGCAAGAATTTTTCCATCCTCTGATTAGCAAGTCAGAGCAAGCCAAGTTCGACTAGCAGAACATGTGCACACAGTAATACATTTAATTATCACTGTATCTGGTGAGAATGATGCATTTTATTGAAATGTTTCATGTTTTTGTGAAGTTATTGGATATTGATTATGACTATTTCAGATGACGTATGTAGCACATTGTGTGCTTTGATATTATGTTGTATAATATTGACACTTTCTATAACTGTGATGTGATAGTGGTCATATTAGTTTTTCTCAGTTACTTTGGTACGTTTCTCAGATCAGAATTGAAATTTGCAAAACGGTGTAAACAATTTGTACAAAAAACAAAACATTGGGATTCCCCTGCAAAAGCCATTTTTTTCTCAAAATCCATAAACATGACATATCCGTGTCGTTGAACATGTCAGTGCAATCCAAACGACAGGTCTTTGTATGATTGAGTATGGACAAGAGAGTCTATTGGCTTAGTAATGTTGTCAATATAACAGTGTACTCTGGAGGGATGTCGTAATGTAAACTGCCGCTGAAGTTTAGATGACAGTTGCAGTATTCTAAATTGCAAGTTATTCTAATAATATTGAGCGACTGGGCGATATTCACAATTTTGCTTTTATGTTTGCACTGCAATTTGTTGACAAACCATTTCATTGCAATACAGAAAGGAAAAGACACTGCACAGCACAAAGCAAAAAAGTAATTAAAAAACAATAATAGAAATGTGAACACGTGACATTCTCTTTCGGCAAAAGTGTACATGCAACACGGTAGGAATTACAGTGCATTTTCCGACACGTTATGTGCCAGGCCTTGCGGTCACAAATTCTCAACCACATGACAACTATTTTCTTCACTTGCTGTGAGCTATTTCAGAAAACTGATTGATCTTTGGTTGGTATAATGCTTCAAACATTCCCCCTTGTTAGAAATAGTCTGATGGAAATATATCAAAATGCGGTTGACCTTTTATTACGTGTTCAACCATTTTGTGATGAACTTATGCCAAATTGTTGTAGGGTGTCAGACAATTCAATGGAGACCTATTATGACATGACGTAAGCGATTCATAATGTCGGAAATAGCAGAGAATTTCACATAATTATTTGCATGGCTATACCAAAGCATTTACAAAATAAATGAAAAAGTGTTTGTTTTTTTTTTTTATGTGCACACGTGACATGATGTGAGAATTGGACAGTTATTGTTGGAAAATTTAATTCAGATCCGAGAAAGGTACCACAGCGAGGTGGATTAATTTGGGTTTAAAAGAAAAGAGAGTCCCTATTAAAAAAGCCCTGGTATCAAATGCACAACCTGCCCAGGTTAAGAACACAATGCCTTCATTGTTATGGTAGTATTGAACAAAATTTTAAAGTCGAAACGTAGGTTTGTCAAACAGAAGCTCACATTATTTATGATGGACGCGTCTTTTCCAAGACAAGTTGCTGGAAAATGACTGATTGAGACACACGACATGGTGTACAACACAGCTTTGTGTATTGGAACTGAATCATGTGTAACCAATGTCATAATGGGAGCACAATAGCGTTCAAATGCATAATTCACCAGCATGTCGTTCGGTAACAGTTAATGGTTGTAAAAGAGTTTAGGGAAATTGCTAGTACTCTGCGGTTCGTAATACCTCATCCAAACGTGTTCTGAAAGCCGAACGGCTTCCCAGCGGTATCTTGACACATAAGCAAGACAACGTACCGCATTGAAAATCGCCTTTTTGGGCGGCGTCGAGCTTTTTTGTTTCGACAGTAGCCCCCGCGTAGGTCTGCCGTCTCTGCTGGCTGTGCCTGAAGTGACAGTAGGGTCTGTTGCACCCATTGCCGCTGCCTTTGCCCTCAGTGTCTTCTGTGTAAAACGGACAGTCAAGCCCTCGGAAAAAGCCGGTTGATCTCAGCATGATCCCCGGAAATTCCTCTCATGCCTCCGCCAATGTTGTCAGGCCGTTTCCGCTTATTCGTGGGCGATATAACCAAGATTGCACGAATGCTAGGACAATAACATCTCTACGGCGCCATGTTGGATTGGTGGCGGAAATGAGTTCTCGCGTGTTTGCTTGACGTCATGGTCGTCACGCTCTCACTGGCTGACGGGAAAAAAAATCCAAACTTCGTCATGGAAGTTAGGGTAGGATCACGGAAGGTAAATTTTAGAAGAGTGTGGGAAGCCAGCAATCAACTGAACTACATCCGCGTTTTTTTACTTCCCTTTAAAAGTCATAGTGTGTATTATAAAGGCAGAACTTCCGTCTAGATTAATCAAATATGTATCTAACCAAAGAAACAAGTGTAATGTTCATGGTATCACTGACTGTGTGTGTGTGTGTGTGTGTGTGTTTTAAGAGTCCAGGACTTCTTTAACAGATTTATTTCACAGGAGGTGGAAGTCGTCTGCTCATGAAGTCTGGAAGAGAAGCATATACAGTATTTTTAATTAAACAGCACAAAAAAGTGAAGGATACTCCTCTTTTGAGAAAATTTGTTGGATGCCTACTGCCTTTTGTAAATATATTTTGACCTCAGCGCACATCTCGAACAGTTTAACGTTTTAGTACTCGTTGCATAACTTGCAAGAGCAACATAAAAATGCCCCTCCTTTGGACAGCCACTTCCCTTGTCTTTTTGACTCTTTCAGTCTCAGTTGAAACCTGCTGATCACGGCCCCTGCCCTCCAAGAAAAACCTAACAACTGTGACGTACACTTTGTGTTAAATTGGCGCAAAAGCAGGTGAACATCATGAAGAGGACTACCAATTCTCTTCATATTGAGAACTTTTCTGTTCAGCTCATTAAATGACATGCAAAAAAAAAAGGACTAAAACACGCAAGATTTGTACATGTGTATTCAAAAGTTTAAAAGGTCAAAATAAGTTGACCTGTTAAGATTGTAGTGCGATTTGGGGTCACAGTTAAACCGCACCCAAACACTAAATACACGAAACTTTTTGAGAGTGGCGTTTCTTCACATTAAGACATTCAATATGACTTGATAGTTTTGTCAAAGTAACTGCACTTAAATCATGTCTCGCCGGTATTAGATCAATACCCTACGAAATAGTCATCAGAAAGCAACTTACATTGGCAATTCTAAACAGGTTAAATTTAAAAGAAATATTTGTATACAATTGCATCATGAGACATGGATAGAAAAGTTTAAAACTATTGTAAAATACTCTGCAATACCTACCTGCCGCTCATTTTAATAGCTCATGCCAACTCATGAGCGGGTTTTTATGCCTTTTCTTTTCCGACCACAAGTCATCCAATTAGGGACAATTTAATTAGCTCATTCGTCACAAGTGCGTTGGGTGTGTCCTGTGATACAGACTTGCCTTTCCTAGTAAAAGTACAGCGAAAATCTTAGTACCTCACATTTAAATGCATTAATTACACAGTATTATGACGTACAGTACTATATTAGTGTAAGTTGAGGGGTTCGTTGTTTTTCAGCGGATGGCTCTTCTTTACGAATGACAGATGGAGAGATGGAATCCTTTAATGCAGTTTATTAAAAGGAGAAAGAAAAAAAAAACGTCTGCACCTCTGAACGGATGAACGAGAACACACCCCCTTCCCGGTAACAGAAAACACTTCCTGGTTTCCTTAACCAATCAGATAATATCAACATAAGCTTGTTTAAGCAATTATTAAACGGAATATGACCTAGGTAACTGTAACACAAAAGAATATAATGCTCAAATATAAAATGAAAATAATTAATAATTTAACATAAGCTTACATTAGTATGTGATGCACATACCTGTCAACTCATACGGTTTAGCCATAGTTCATACGGATTTTGTGGTGAATCTTACGTATATGGCCATATCGCACAAATCATACGGATTCTGAAAATTTCCGGTTTTTTCTTTTTTTTCCCCCGCTAAGAGGTAGTTCCGTTTGCTTTTGCCCAGAATGGTGCTAGTCTACTCGAATGCTTTCATTTCCGTTAACTTTCCAGTAAATCACGTGGTTCCTAGTTGAAAACAGCAGAGTATTCATTGCATACTTCGGTAGTGTACAAGCAAGTTCTACAAGGAAACAAATATATCATTCATATTTCGTGGGTTTTTTTTCTGCCGTTATTTTGACATATAAAATGCTTTGGTATGTTAGAAGGATTTTTTTGCTCTTTATAAGGATTTTTTGGTAGCTTATACAGGTTGGCGCTCCGAAAAGTTGACAGGTATGGATGCAGTCTTTACACATCCATTTAACCAAAATAAATTACTCAGAGTTTAACCTAAGAATGTCCAGAAGAGGGCAGCAGTGTGTACAATCCCGATTCTTGGCTCTCGGTCACGCCCAATGAAGACTGTACAGTACAATAGTCACATTGCTATTGCATCAGTTAATTCCCTCCTGCCCCGAAACGTTTGCAATGCCAGAAAACATGTTGCGCAATCAAGTGGCTTTCTGAGTTACTAACTGACACAACGTATGGTGTATACATGACTGTTTATTTGAAGGCCCGTTTTTTTCCACTTCTGAAACAGAGTCGAGACTAAAGTCCCCCCAAGTATTATGTAACGTTTCAAATATGCAGTATACTGTACAACCCTTTCATTGGAAATGTCTGTTAATGATAAGGGTCAATATTGTCGACAGAATGAATAGGTGGTATATGTTTGGAAAGGCGTTCTCAACCTTGCCTTTGGCCTTTATGCAGCTCATATTCGGGTTCAAGTTCAAGTCAACTTTATTGTCAAATGTGCGCAACATAGAGCACAGATGAAATTTCTTTCCTCTCAACCACAGGAGAGAGATGAGCCGCTGTGGGTGTCGCGCCGCCATCAACAGAACAGTTAACATAAAATGACAAAAAAATACAACACAACACATAAGACGCGGACAGTCGTGCAATCTTAACCACTTTTTCTCACCAGTGGATCAAAAATGTGCACACGTCTGCTACAAGCTAAAAGTTTGAAAGCAAACAAGAAGCTGTAGCATCCATTAACGAAATAGAGATTGCCTCACATCTCCTGTCCCATGTAAGGCCCATGTAAATCCGCTTCAACTCCAGTTGTTTGCGAGGTGGTAGCCTGGGCAATTTCTTTACGTGCACGGGTGTCAAACTCAAAGCCCGAGGGCCAGATATGAACCGTCATATCATTTTATGTGGCTGGCAACAGCAAATCATGTTTTTTGCTTTCGAACATACATATTTGCCCGAAAGATTTGTACAGCACTATTTAGTTCTGTTCATAATTTACCACACCTTGATTAGGCCCCTGGTTCAAGCTGAAGAAAAACAGCCCCAAAGTATGATTCTGTACCACCAGACTTCATTCATGTACTACTGTAGGTATAGTGTTCTTATTTCACTTTTGGACAGCTGTAACCGCATAACTCAAAAGTCGCAATGTGTAGCCAAGTCGTTTCCTATCCGCACACATGTGGCGATAGCTCTTGCAGCAGGTTGCATCAGTCACGTATGGTGAGGCCCGCCTGTGGAAAGCCCCACAGTGGCATCCTGGATGACTGACACATAAAATCACATGCAAGTCATAGTTCAGAGAGTGAAGGGAAAAGTGTGCTGGTATTAACAGCTAAGGACACGTGACACAGCTCAAATATCAGTGAGTGTGACAGATAAGATAATTTACTGCAATCTGTAGGCCTGGTCTCAGCCTTGGTCAAAAGATAATGTTGGTTAATGTGAAACTGGTGAGAAAGGAGGGCGCACATGCCAAGTATCAGCTTTCCAACTAAGTCCATTAAACTGAACAGGAAATCAATGAGCACAATGATTAATAGACATCACAAACACACGTGAGTTTTTAAAAGCATTTTATTGCTTTTTTTTTTTTTTTTTAGAAAAACAATACAAAATTCTGGAACAACTGTTTTAAGCGTTGCCTTGAGTGAACTGCAATCATTCACATGATACTGTAAAGTGCTTATCTTAAATCAAAATTGGTTTATATTTTAAGGATGTATTTATTCCAAACTTCTTCCCCCCTAAGGGCATTGAGATGGTGCTAATTTCAGGCATTGGCTGCCTCAGCTCAATGCCTGTTTCTTCCGCCACAGGCAGAATTGTTTACCACACACTTGAGTTCAATTAGGAAGGCTTTGAGAAGTATTGCTGGATTTTAAATTCTTTGCCTGTGGACTACATTCAAATTATGGGAAGGGTTGACACTGTCCTCATGAATGAACTGAACACTTTCTTACGTCAAAATGACAAACAAAAAGTGAGAGCCTTAGAATAGAACTTTCTCCCAACAAGACAGTATTAAAACAACTGCCACTTCACAAAAAAAAATAGAAATGATAATGACCAAGAACTCTTATTACACCAGTCAGAATCTTGAGTATGGCCCTTTGTGTGTGCACGTGATTGCAGGTATCAAACCCAGTCCAAAACTTGCGATGCTCACAGGAGATAAGAAAAAAAAAATACTGAACTGTATCAGGCGTTTTAAAACCCCGTAAAGATTGCCTTAATCAAATTTAGCAAAGTAGTTTCCCAAATAGAGAAGAAACAGCTGCATATACAAATTCAAGTCTTATTATAAGACATAAAATCCCATGATGATGCATCTGTCGGTGGTTTCGAAAGCTATTACAGTGTCCCGTTATCAGCAGAGTGGATCCTTTAGCAAAAAGGCAACCATTTCCAGAGTACCATTACTGCAGTGCTGGTAGTGGATTGTCAGCACCTGTCTGCTAGGTTATTCCACATGTTCCATGTGATAGGTCATGACTTGAACCCCCTTTAAGTGAAACAGACCTGGTCACTTTTCACTGTCTATCACAGTCTCAGAATGAACATTTACTTCATTCGAGAAGAAAAGAATTATTGCCAACTTGTGAACATAAAAACAAAACAAAATCACTGTCTGGGCAAGAACGCTCCAGCTCAACTAAAACTTCTGCCGACTTTCACACAACTTAACATACCGTAAACCAACATAGGAAACCAGCCGGTGTTTCACCTGAACTCAACCGCGCCTCCATGACAAATCACCAAGTAGAAAAAAAAAATCCATTCAAAAAAATGAAAGAAAAAAGTGGCACATTCACATGGAGTTTTTAACATGAAAAACATAAGGTAAACATATACAGCTACACATTTGTGGAAGACTTTTTTTGTTTGTTTTTGTGGAATGTTTTTCCTTTTTTTTTGTTTTTTTTCTTTTTTTAGTCTGTGGGGGGCGGGGGGTGACTGTCTTCAATTATGTAAATATTTGGAAATAGATGTCTCATTAAAAATGAGACATCAGCATTAAAAATGCTGATGGTCCAAATAAGTGTATTCAATCGAATGACAAGGTCACATCGGCCAAACTGTGCTTTTCAAACCCTGCATGAGGGAATTCTAACTTTTAGTGCCAAAAATATCAAGGTTAGCGCTGAGGCATACATTGATTTACATATACAAAAAATACAAAACTGAAAAACTGTAAGCACTGGGTGTGGCTGTGGGACATCGTAAATTCTTCAAAAAAAAAAAAAAAAAAATTTTTACTCTTGATTATTATTCAGACATTGTTCAAGATTGCATAGTCATTTACGGGGGCAACCAGATAGTAATAATTTTGACCTGTGATACTCAACAGTATGGCAACTGATCCTTACAGCATTGAGCCAAACTGTATAAATCACTGCACTAATCACATCATGGCTGGCAGTATACAGACATTCTCTGCTCTTGGAGCTTTGATTGCGTAGCCACTGAGACAAATCGATTCCAAAATTATTTGCGTGGAGAACCAAAAAAAAATAAAAATAATAAATAGCTTGAAAGATTCCCCAGCCACACAATAATGGCACCAGGCACAGACAGCATTGGCTTACAGCTCTTCCACCCCCCTATGTACACCTTCATCTTGGCATATTGCATAATCTTGTATGCATGTACAGATTGACCATTCATGCATACACATACAGGCAAAGAGAACATTCCAGACAACTTAATTCACAGTGGATCCAGTTGTAACGTGGGAGCAGCATGAGAGGTTGTCCTTTGGTGTCTGAGCTTAGTTTTAAACATAAGTGTTGAGAGAAGGGGGGTGGGTGGGGCTTATAAAACTAACTCTCTCTTAACCTCCCTCCCCAATAACCTGGACGTGAATCTGCATTTGCAGGCCCTGGGCTGATGTGCTTCAGAAGTGCTGCAGAAGGTCAAAAGGCATTTAGAAGAAGATCTGTGGTCTCCCCATACAGCAAACTCAGAAAGAGCCTGAATGGCCAGGGACCAAGGCCAGCGAGAGTCAAAGACAGGCAAGGAGAGGAGCAGGTCTTCGCAGAAGATCTGGAGCCAACGTTGACAAAATTCAGGCACAGTCCCCTACAATAACAAGAGGGGCCAAGAGCTGACGAAGCTCGGCAGCGGAGACGGGGCCGCCCTTGGGCTGGCTGCTGCGCTGCCTTCGCTTGGCCAGCTTCGAGTTGGAAGGAGGAGAGAGACGCATGGAGGAGCCGGCAGCAGTGACCACAAAGGGGGTCTCCAGCTGATGCTGCTCCTCCATGCCATCCTGTTCAGCCAGCTGCCGGTTCACAGCCATGGCCTTGTCTGCAAAGAATGTCAGATCCCTCGCATTGCTGCTTCTGTGGAACGGGAGAAAGGACATGAGGTTCCCAGGATATAAAAAGGCGAAGTGTTGCGGATCGAAAACTACACGCATGGTCAACTGCCTCACCTCTGATGAAACACCGGTGTAGGCAGAGTGTCAGATGCACCCTAAAAATGAAAGCAAGCCCATTAAAATGTAAAAATGCACTCCTCCATTACTAATGCAAAATGATAGCGGTAGCATGGTGGCTCGATACTCACCCCTTGCACCCAGGGGTGCTGCAGCACCTGGCTAGCGCTAAGGCGATTTTTGGCATCCCGAACCAGTAGTCTGGATATCAGGTCTTTGGCACTTGAGGCGATATGAGCCCAGTCTTTGTCAGGAAACTCATACTTTCCTTCCTGAATACTTTCAAACAGGGTATTCTACAGGAGGGAAAGAGCAGTTTTGTTGAAGTCAAAAATTAGACCAATGAAAAAACATTTTTCAAAATGTCTGACATTCCATAATCCCACCTGGCATCTGTGGCAGGGTTCCCCCAATTCCCAGCCACAGTCACGCCCGCAGTGGCCTACAAAGGGCGCGTAACCACTCAGCATGATGTATAGGATGACTCCCAGGCTCCAGAGGTCACAGCGCTTGTCATAAATGGTGGCCTCCTCGCTGAAGGCCTCGACCACCTCGGGTGCCATGTACTCTGCAGAGCCACACTGATGAGAAGAACACATTGGTTAGCCACAGGCTTGGCTATGAGCAGCATACAAGAAGAGTGAAATGTTTTCTTTAGCTGCTGCTCCTGACATTCCTCAGTACAGCTGACACCTCGTGTTGAAGCTAGAGGCCTAAACGGGGGCGAACTGCGAGAGTCACATGGCTATCTTGGAGGATGGGCCAAGTTTCGAAAAATAAAAAATAAAAAGGCACTGCACAGCTTTTCTCTGTGTGGAAATTCAAAACATGTTGTGCAACATCCCCCGCACAGCATCAAATGGGGCAGGTTAGCAGGAACATTGAGTCACAACTTGGACCAGCCAGCTGCACACAGTACACAGTGGACTGAGGGCAAAGGCAGGCAGGCAGGCTCAGGTCTGACGTTGCCTTGTTATGTATCCAAGACAAGAATTAGGCCAAACACTTAGCCCAGCAAAGAGGATTGGCCATGCCGCAGAACCACAGACTGGGCCGAGCCCTTGCCAGTTACATAACTTTAAAGCACAAAAGCCAAATGATGCCTTCATGGTACAAAAGAGGAGCAGGTGACGAGTTCACAAAAACCTTCCTTCAAAATTTCTATTACGAGCGCGTGACATACATAGACATTCGACAAACCAAGAGTTCAGCAAAATCTCGACTTGATGGGCCTGACAAATGGATCAAAAACCGCTTCTTCAGTCATCGGCCTGCTCAGTGAAACTGCAAGCTTTCAGCTAAAAAAAAAAAAGTAAAAATAAAATAAAATGTGCAGTTTGGCTTGGAAACCCAGGACAGCTCATCTCTCCTTTAATCTGTAGGGGCCATGTTTACATTGAGCAAGACGATTGCACAAGATCCCAGCAGCTCCTCCTCTTCCTCCTCCTCCTCCTACATATTTATGACATGAAATGTGTTGCAAAGGAACCTGAGCTCGGACAAAGCCGCTTCTGTCGCAGGGAAAAATCCCAACCTCCACACTTCAACCATCCACACGTATGGAAAGCTTGCCTCAGCAGATGAAGAATCAAGTTGAAAAAGAACAGAATGCAGGACAAAAATATAATGAAAGAGCAAGAAAAAAAAAGCTTCAAATAGATAATTAAAAAGGGTTAAGCTTGTTTGCTCCACTTCCAACTTCAGCGACAATAAATGCATCATGGCTAACAAGCATCCCATGCCCACTCAAAATTTTCTTCATGCGCTGTTCATTAACGCAAGCGGGAGGCTTTCCCGTGACCATGTGACTAGTCAGCCCATGATGACACCACTCATGTTCCACACCCCTGATACTGGTAAACAAGATTACCTGGCAAGGGTTTAGGGGAACTTGCAAATGGGATAGGAGCCATAACCGCTTCAATTTTGGCACAATGAGGCGGCTTCAAATCTCCCAAATACTGCACATGAAAGCTTTGATATTCGAGCAGCCTTGCTTCGTTTATGTTGGACACTTGTGGAGCTTTCTTGGTAAGCAATATTTAGCATTTTCCAAGAAAGATTCATCCAACATTCATTGTTGTTATTCTCAAACTCTAAATGGCACAAAAACTTTGGAGGAAAAAAAACCTAAATGCTCAATAGCACCGTGGATGAATGCAAAAGATGCAAAAATATAAATGTTGTGTAACAGCAGCTCTACGAATCCAGCATTCATGAGCAGGCCATACCGCCCCCCCTCCACTCGTCTAAGCCAATCAAAGCTCAGTTGCTAGGTATGGGAGGGGGCAAATAAAAACATTGTAGAACAAACCTTGTTGATCTCCTTTGTATAAAGAACATTACAAAAATGTAGGGTTGGGGTCATGGGGCATTAAAAATAAGCAGCGATAGGGTGGATATTTCCGCACTGCCTCACAAGTTTGTGTGTGGTTTGGTAGGCACTCTTTATAAAACACAACATGGCCTTGGAAGTTCCCCTTGTGGTACATTCCAAGGCTGTTACATTGCTTCCGAAAGTCTTTCCACTAGGTCACTTTTTTTTTTTTTAAATTGTCCTGTATTGGGGCTCCATTGTCCTGTACCGGTCTGTGGTTTCTCCGTCGAAAGATGAAGTTACCATCATTGTAATCAGCCCCCCAACACACAACATTCCTGCAGGATTAAGCACCTCCTCCTTCACCTGCTCTCGTCCATCTATCACGTACGCACAGACTACACACAGACTGCCTGTGTCAACACGTAGCAAAAGCCAGAATCGTTACATGGCGTGCATCCCACTTTTCGCGGCGCTTTGCTTTGAGGAATTCGCTTTGGTGTTGTGATGATGGTGCGGGGTCGAACAATCATAACCTCAAACTCTCCGGCCTCAATATTTACAACTGATAAGTAGGACGTGTACCTTAAACTAAGGGATATCTAGCCGGGAACTGCTGATACCATAAAGTGATAAGGTAAAAAGAATGCTGCCAGGCAGGGACAATGAAAAACTGATCAGCAGGCTGAGCATAACACCATCCCGCATGACCAATGGGCAGGCAGCCTCGACTTGATAAAGGCACGTTAAAGCCTGAAAGCACAACGCTTATCTGCATGGAATAGAAAACTCCACAGAGGAAAGGTACAAAACAGTGAATAACTCAAGACGAAACATTAGATTTGTACAATTTAACAACTGGGTCATGTCAAAGTTTTTTTTTAAAGAAATAAACTTTCCATCTGAATAAATTGTCTATCCAATAAATCCACTCAGCAAAGCCAATACCAATTATATACACTAGGTCTCCACTTTCTGCTCTCTTTGCACCTCTGTAGATGCTAAGCTAAACCGTATTTGGTTGCATGATTAGTGGTACTCTGTGCAATGGCAAAGGCAATCTAATCCAACCTTTTCCAGTTATTACAGTATGGTTCAGCCTAATGACTCTCATCAAGTTTTGCTTTGCCACACCCCACTCTATTGCGGCACACTTATTGATCCTTGTAGCACATGACCTCTATAATTTATATCTCGTGAGGAAAAGGTTGATCATGAACTTACGGGTGTGAGGAGTTCAGGGGTGGAGATGGGTGAGCTGTCACTGTTCAGTTTGATACCACTGCCCAGGTCAAAGTCACAGATTTTAACCGGGGAAATCTGAGAGAGGAACATAAAATGAGAATAAAAATCTCATCACACCCACTTGAATCATTCAAGTACAATTATAGAACTCTTTGTACACTATCTTTGCCCGATAAGTAATCACACTGTACGAGAGCAGCTTATCAATCCACTATTCACAACATTAGTTCCCATTAGTTGAAATGGACAAGTAAAGTTTGCACAGACTCACCTTGTCTGCACTTTCACAGAGGATGTTTTCAGGTTTGAGGTCTCTGTGTGCCATTCCTGCAAATTAACAAGACAGTTCACTTCTGGTTAGTCTATCACAGCTAAAACACGACGCAAACATTCAAAATGTGAATATCAAAATGCAAAAACATTCACATGAATATTAAAAATGTCTCCAGATGGGCACACTGTCAAGGATTTGTGAGAGCGTGCTCACCCTTGTTATGCAGGAAATCCAGAGCTCGAGCAATGTCCTGCACGACAACTCGAGCTTCCTGCTCACTGAAGTGCTGCCTCTTGTGAATGTGTGCCAAAATGGACCCTAATGGGAGGGAATGCAAGTATATCAGCTATTGACATTAGGCAGACCAAATCTCCACTCTCCTAAAAGGCATGCCAGGCATTTTACATGGTCAAATAAAATTAACATTGGTGCGAGAGCAACTGCAATTCACCGACCTCCTCTGAGCTTTTCAAACACCAGATAGAATTTGTCTTCCTCTTCAAAGAACTCCACCAATTCCAGGATATTACTATGAGAGAAGATACAGCCGGTCAAACAAACAAAATGCCTTCTTGCCTACATGTACCCTCATTTTAGAACTAAAAATGTGTTGCATTACAAGGTTAAAAAGGTCAGAGTCAAAAGTGATCACGTTGTATTTAGTTTGAGTTAGTGATTAGGAGGATCACTACCTGTGGCCCTGGCACTGGTAGAGCATTTCGACCTCACGAAAGACACGGCTGCGGCTGTGGCCTGGTCTTTTTTCAATTATCTGAAAGAAAAGACACAGGTTAATATGGGGAGCTGGTCATACGCTGTAGTTAAAAATAAAGGACACAATGGTGCGTGTAACTTCGAGGACATGCTGCTCATGCAGCATAAGAGTCGACATGTGTCCACAGAGAGTAGATTACATGTTCCATATGTGGTGCCAAGTTAAGGCCTCGATTTCCCCCGCTTCCCAAAAGTCACCCCACCCTGTGACACACTCGCAAATACACTTCAACCTACTTTCTACGCTGCCAGCCAAACCATGATGATTAACAAAGTCACAGAGCGGCGCTATATTTAGTGCCATGTGTCAGTCTTATTTAAATCTTAAGTGCGTTTAAGTGTTCCTCATTTGAAACATTCCGTGGGGCATTCCCAAACTACTTACGGTTAAAAAAAAAATAAAAAAAAGCCTCAAAAAACAAAAACAACATGCTCTCTAAATATAACTGCTGTGCCATGGGGAGCTTAACCAGCGAGGGGCCACCATCAGTTGAACGTCATGCCAAGAGCATAATATACTGCTGACACCAAATCAAAAGGGCTGAATGTTCCAGTCCTGAACAGTTATTGTTTGCTTGGATGTTGTGCATGTTTCTCTTCCTGGTAGCTGGATTACAGTTGCTTTTGAAGCCCAGTACTGCCATGCGTCAAGGATTAATGCACAGACAAGAGTGGCGTGAGCACTCCAAAGCCCCTTGCACTCATCCAGTCTGAGTCAGCAGCACGAACTAGCACAATAGCTCATAAAACGGGGAAGTCAATTAAGCACCCATACATACTGTATATAATATATACAATACACGTCTATAGCTCCAATCCATCAATCTATCCACACATCTATACAGTATACTAACACACGGACGCACACAATACATAATAGGGTGATGAGATTTATGCTGCTAAGCAAGATAGTCAAACAACCATCTGAGCCAGGGAGGTGTTAAATATGCACAGGCTGCTGCTTGTACTTCATGAAGCTTTGTTCCAGTTGGAACACAAGGAGACCACACTTGCAACTCGCCTGTCGCTGGGGTGTGGGGTCGTTGGGGGCTGGTAGACGGGACATCTGGCAGGAGCAGTCTGAGCCCCCCCCAACAAGCAAATGACCTACTCTACACGCTTCCTCCCCCAGAACGACAAACTCCCATGGAGATCCACCAACGCGTCACAGCGTAAACAACAGCAACAGATCATTGTCATATGATCAAACGCTTGCCTCAAGTCTTCTTAATTATTCATTTCTATGATATGGATATCGTATGTGCTTGGTAGGATTTAAGGATTTTTGCTTGCACAAATGTATACAAAGGCCGTGGATGCAAGCATAATACAGCTTTGGACCTGTGCACTTAGCGTCAAGAACCACACTTTATTACACTTGTGTTCAGAGAAAAATTATGCAATGTTTTTGCTTCCTTTGTGTGAGGCAATGCAGTTCTCAAAGAGGGAAGTTCCTTCATTCAAGGCGGGTCTTTAAAAGTGAAAAAAATATTACTGCAGAGAGTGAAAAGAGGAATAAAACCATGTAAACATCCTGGGTCACAATGTTCAACCAGCGCCACCCACCACCCCTCCTCCTCTATATGAGGGTTTTGTTTTGGCAGCACACAATGTTCTCTCCCTCCCTCTCTCTCTCTCTCTCTCTCTGAGCATCCACTCTCTGGGCAATAGGAGTGGAATGAATGGGAGGGTATATCCCTCCCTGCTCTGTGATTGGATGGCTGCATGTAAAAACAGCAAGGGGAGTGTCTGCTGACTGCAGCTAATTCCAGAGCAGCAGTAACACACAAAGAGAGTCATGTGGCAGCCAATGTAAAGACTTGAGGATCCTGCTTTCGAACAAAAACTTCCTTCAGCAAGAGACTTAAATAATAATCATATTGTACATTTAGACTGAAAGCTGTGCATCTTACCTTGACAGCATACTCTTTGTTGGTTATAAGGTTGATGCATGTTTGCACCCTGGCATAGGCACCCTCTCCCAGTACTTCATCCTGCAGTCTGTATACATCTGTGAGCGGGTGAACGAGTTGAATCTTAAGCATTCTGTTTATGCAGCAGAATTTTACATCAAGCCACAGTCCACTGAAAATTATCTTGCCTTCAAATCGCCCAGAGAAACTGTCTGTTGCCCTGCAACGCTTCTTCTTCTTGCTTCTCTTCTTGGCATCAGGGATGTCTATGGGCTGGCTGGAAGGTATATCTGTCACAATAGACACTACATTATTACAGAGTTTGAGTAATTGTTAAACTGAGGAAGCAACCCCAACAGAATGGGTTACTATACAACTAAAGTGTTAATACCCACCATGCCTTGGGGAGGAATCAAAATCAAATGATGAATCAATGAGATGAGATCCATTTTTGGTGAAGTCATCTGTCTCAAAAGGATTTTGGCCCTGCAAAGTAAGATATTGAAATAAGAAAACAGCCACAACTTCCTCAATTGATCAAATCTCTTGGCTCAGCTGCACCAAGCTAGAATCAAGAGTGCCTATTGGGCTTCTTCCTGACAAAACAATAATACTGTATTGTTGGACCACATCAAACTACCAAATAGTCATAGAACTTAAGCCCTACTTAATGTGGCTTGATAGCCACCCATACATTAGCTGTCATAAATGGGGTGATGAACAATGTGCTGATTGTTTGCAGTTCTCTCACATACACGTGCAACCCCCCCCCCCCCCCCCCCCCCGCCCGCCCTGACAGCACTAGGTAGCTCCTTCAGCCAGACACTGTTACACCCGCGCTGCAAGAAGGAGAGATACCGCCGCTCGTTCCTACCGACTGCTGTCAGGCTGCTGAATAAAAAATAAAATGATGTGGAAAAACAACTGTAAATATCACTGCGACTTTATCCATATCTGTATTTATATTGCACTTAATTTAACGGTGTTTGTTTTTTTTCTTCTTTTTTCTTTCTACTCACAATCTTGCTGCTGTAGACTGTAAATTTCCCCAGTGTGGGACAAATAAAGGATATCTTAATCAGAGAAAAATTATGCAATGTTTTTGCTTCCTTTGTGTGAGGCAATGCAGTTCTCAAAGAGGGAAGTTCCTTCATTCAAGGCGGGTCTTTAAAAGTGAAAAAAATATTACTGCAGAGAGTGAAAAGAGGAATAAAACCATGTAAACATCCTGGGTCACAATGTTCAACCAGCGCCACCCACCACCCCTCCTCCTCTATATGAGGGTTTTGTTTTGGCAGCACACAATGTTCTCTCCCTCCCTCTCTCTCTCTCTCTCTCTCTCTGAGCATCCACTCTCTGGGCAATAGGAGTGGAATGAATGGGAGGGTATATCCCTCCCTGCTCTGTGATTGGATGGCTGCATGTAAAAACAGCAAGGGGAGTGTCTGCTGACTGCAGCTAATTCCAGAGCAGCAGTAACACACAAAGAGAGTCATGTGGCAGCCAATGTAAAGACTTGAGGATCCTGCTTTCGAACAAAAACTTCCTTCAGCAAGAGACTTAAATAATAATCATATTGTACATTTAGACTGAAAGCTGTGCATCTTACCTTGACAGCATACTCTTTGTTGGTTATAAGGTTGATGCATGTTTGCACCCTGGCATAGGCACCCTCTCCCAGTACTTCATCCTGCAGTCTGTATACATCTGTGAGCGGGTGAACGAGTTGAATCTTAAGCATTCTGTTTATGCAGCAGAATTTTACATCAAGCCACAGTCCACTGAAAATTATCTTGCCTTCAAATCGCCCAGAGAAACTGTCTGTTGCCCTGCAACGCTTCTTCTTCTTGCTTCTCTTCTTGGCATCAGGGATGTCTATGGGCTGGCTGGAAGGTATATCTGTCACAATAGACACTACATTATTACAGAGTTTGAGTAATTGTTAAACTGAGGAAGCAACCCCAACAGAATGGGTTACTATACAACTAAAGTGTTAATACCCACCATGCCTTGGGGAGGAATCAAAATCAAATGATGAATCAATGAGATGAGATCCATTTTTGGTGAAGTCATCTGTCTCAAAAGGATTTTGGCCCTGCAAAGTAAGATATTGAAATAAGAAAACAGCCACAACTTCCTCAATTGATCAAATCTCTTGGCTCAGCTGCACCAAGCTAGAATCAAGAGTGCCTATTGGGCTTCTTCCTGACAAAACAATAATACTGTATTGTTGGACCACATCAAACTACCAAATAGTCATAGAACTTAAGCCCTACTTAATGTGGCTTGATAGCCACCCATACATTAGCTGTCATAAATGGGGTGATGAACAATGTGCTGATTGTTTGCAGTTCTCTCACATACACGTGCAACCCCCCCCCCACCCAACCGACGAGCGCACACACGAACGCACTTAACAAACCTTAAATGAGCGGTGGAATCCAGTGACTTCGGTGATCTTATTTTGCACCATTCTGCTTCGATTTGGGCGATTTGTTATTGGAAGGATGAGCGGCGGCTGTGGCAGTGGTGTTTGGCCTATCCGATTGCACTTTCTCCGAAACTGAGGTGTTTCCGAGACAGTTGCAAGAGATCACACTGGTGCGGGCTGGTCAGCTTTCTGCGGCGCTTTACCGGAGCCCTGCGCACAACGCAAACACGAAAACGTACAAGGCCATTACCTCGGAAGCACTGCAAAGTATCGAGATCATATATTCAAAAATATTTAATTATCCGTATGAATGAATCAAGTATCCAAGTATACGAAATAACTTAATCTAAGGCACTTAATTTGCATAAGCAACTCATCATATTTTAGGCACAAAATAATGGGTTTTAAAAATTACGCTGACTTGAGCGCTGCCATGCACAAGCTAACGAGCGCGTGCTAAACTACAAGCTAGCTGCGTAGCGGCTGACGTAAAGTTGGCTTTTGGTTACAGAAGACAAACATCAAGAAAAATTAACCTGGTCGTTTTCTTACATTGCCCGTACATCGTTACACAACATTTAAAGCCAAATAAAGAATTTACAGTGTCTGTGCCACTGGTGGGACACGTACTCCACATTCACCGTAAAAAAAAACAACAACAGAATGGGAAATGTTTTACTTAACAAGATAATTAAAACAGAGAAAGAAGGAAAATATTAACTTACCCAATTGAATAATTTTACAGCTCCAGTGTTAGCGTCGTAATCGGACCCACTGCTTGGACAGCCGCAGAGGACGGTCGTGGGGGAAACAAGCCGATTGAAGGGACATGGAAGGTGGCGGAGTGACAGCAGTTGCAGTCTTTTTATAACCTCATGGTTGACTCCTCCTTGTACACGCCCCGAACGCCTTCACAATTGCGTCAGCAGGCTAGATGAATCACGTGCTTTCTAGAAGCCGAGCCTCAGTGGCCGCGGTCCATTTCGTATTAGCAAGACTCCGTTAATTATTTTACAAAGGCAATAAGTGTAAACAGACAATGTTAACCTTTTAGACTATTTTTATATGGTCACAGGTTTATTCGGAACCCCATTTACAGAGTCATTGCTGAAGTCTGCACACTTGCACTGGTCTTACGAGGAAAGTATAGAGGAGGAGGTAATGTTGATACAGACTAAAAGGTACCGTACCACAGGGTTTCGTTCCAGCGAGGAGCCCAACAACAGCAGCAAGCAGGGAGCACAAACCAGCACGTCATATTATTGTGATGTATCTGCTCGGGGGGAGGAGAGACAGAAGGCTGGTGCAACATGTCGACAGACAAGATCCACCAGTTTAGACAATGCCGGCCTTAATATCACAGGAATGTTTTTGAATGTCATAGATGTGGGTGTCATTTGGCATCGAGAACACGTCTGCTTTATCAACGTGTGCTCTAACTGAGATCTCAGACCCAGTATTGAATGGCCTTGATCAGATGGACATTGAACCACCCTGGTGTAGCGTATATGCGCACATGACCTCAGCTTCCTTGAATTTTTTTTTTTTTCACCACCACCATTGCACACATGCAGACTCTCACGTTTTATTAGAGTACTATTAGAAGCAACCCGATAAATAAGAGCTAATGGCCAGACAGAGGCAATCAGACATTTTGTTGCATCCGGCCTTGATAATTCAACTTCGGAATTTATTCAAATAACAAGTGGTATGGGAAGAGGAAATGTTAGTACGATGAATAATTTTTGCTGAAATGAACATCGAACTTTTCAGTGTTTTATAAAAGGGATGCAGTTTAGAGAATACATCGATCCATTGTACACAAAAGCAGGGTCAGGGTGTGCTTCCTGTTTCTCATTTAGTTGTTCTATATTCATGGCCAAGAAGTATTTTTCATATGAATAATTAACGACTTTGTTGATACTACTTCGTTAGCATAGTCGTTATAGGCTAGCAGCTATGGCTATGTTGCTTTTCATAGGAAGCCAAGGACCCCCTGTATTCTTTGACAGCGCTACTAATAAGTTAAATTATGTCAAAGAAAAAGGTATAGAAAAATGAAATGTACCTTTTTTAGACTTCTATCAACAGGAAATGCTCTGTCATGAGTTACAGTAGATGTGATTTCTACGAAATAATCCTTCCCCGGGAGCTAAACAGTAAGGTGAGAGTTATGGACAGTTCTTACAACCCTCTTGAGTTTTTGAGAGAGTGCACACATGGCACATTTTGGAACTTGGTGATGAGGCCGGGTGGAAACTTACTCTCATGCTTGTGATAATGAAAGAAATCCATGAACCGTAATGATGCAGAAACATGCACTCTCTCGGCACATCCGCTAATTGTGACATGCCAGAGACCTGACATACTCGTGCTGTATTCAGTTATTAAAAGCAAAGTTAATTTGACAAAGTCACGTGTGGGATATTATATTTGTTCGAGTGCATGTGTACTGTGCAAGGGTTCAACAAAAAAATTCTAAAAAAAAAAAACAGACTCAACAGACAAACTAAACTTGGATTTCAAACTGTGTTCATGGGAGACAATGCTTTTCTTTGCCTTATGTTTTGTGTGTGTGTGTGTGTGTGTGTGTGTGTGTGAGATGATTCTGTTTTTGGGTGTTTCCAGCAAGTGGCAGAGGAGGGCCTTCCCTCCAGCATGCACACCTGCTCCCAATGTTAACCTGCCAACTATTTAAGGACTTTTAAGTCGTCATGTCTATCGAATAATTCATCTTGCTCTCCGCTCCGCCACCTAATTCATCGTGCTCACCGCTCCGCCACCAATATTGAATTCTTCTCGGGGTTCTATGTTTCATGCTCTTCGTTTCATGTTTTTTTTTTGTGTGTGTGTGTGTGTGTGTGTGTGTGTGTGTGTGTGTGTGTGTGTGTGTAATTTTGACCCAGACCCATGTTGTATGTTTGCGCTCGCTGTAGACATGTGATATGCCCTTGGAATGAACTTTTGTTCTGACCTGCTGTGTATCATACATTGTATTGTTTACCAAGGGAGTCTCAGCTGAATCAATGTAAGATTTGTTTTCAGTCGTTTGTGACTGGATGCTTCCTGCCTCTCCTCCCTGTTTCAGCTTCAACTCCTCCAACATGCACCCGTTTGGTAGCAAACATTACGCAAGCGTACGGCTGACCGTCCCTCCCATTCTATCTGGCAGCACATGTTGGTGTTTTCAAAGAGACACAAGATCACACACTGGCGCGCAGGGGCTGGCACAGTGTTACTATAGGTCAAAAGGAGCAGAATGGGCAATCAAAAATAGCTTCAGGTGACAACAATGTCAAACCCGATGGCACTCAGGGGATCATAGTTTGGCTTTTAACTCCAAGGGCATGCTTGAAATTTGGCATGGGGAAGGTGTGTCCCTGATGGTATTTTCCAGATATCCTGTCAGTATCGTGATGCTGTATGCGAAGGACTGTTTGCATTTAGCGACGCCAAAATATGAACATATACATGCACGTATATGAGCTAGAAGCTAGCTATCTTACTGTACTAACACACAGTTTTCCTCACAGAAACTATATGAGTCCCAAATTTGGGAGGGGGGGTGGGAGTGTTTGTGCGTGTGTGTCTGTGTGTCAGTCATTCAGAAACAACCAGAATTATTCCTTTTGGTTGACTCTTTCAATGGGTGTTGCTTTTAGATTTTATCAGAGCACTGACCCTGTCTTGGGAGATATAGTGACTACATTCTATATGTGAAGGTTTAAGCATTTGGGGAAAGGAACTATATTTGGTAAACAAACACAAAGTTGAAATAGACATTACATTCATGACTAAAAAACACTGGAGCCATGTGATTCCTCTCTCCAAATAATCCGTCCGTTTTCTATATCGCTCATCCTGTTCAAGGTTGCCATCTATTATCGGGCAAATGGCAGACTACACACTGGAATTGTCACCAGTCAGTCACACTGCACACACAGACACAGACAAGCATTCACACTATCTCTGAACAGGAATTGAACCTACACTGCGGAGCACTCCACCGAGTGACCCGAAAAAAGTCATGAATGATAAGTAGATAGCAAGAGAGAAAAAAATATGTCATTATCAATGCTACAAACATTTTGTAATGCAAATGTTTTTTTGAAAACTAGCTATACTAAATAGGGTAGTGGGGAGCACGTGTGCCTCATAGGTGTGAGGTACAGGGTTCAGCTATGGCCTTTCTGTGTGGAGTCTGCATGTTCTGCTTGTGCTTGTGTTGTTTTTCTGCAGGTACTCCAGCTTCTTTCCACATACCGTTCCTTACGCATGCATATTAGACTCACTGAAAGCCCATAGTCAGGTTAAGAGAGATTCCAGATCACCCGTAAGCTTAATAGTTTTTATTTTTATTTCATTTATTTATTTCACTTCACATTAATCAACACAAGAATAAACAGTATAAATGCACCGCACTTAGCATAAATGCTCGTTTTTAGCCATAGTCCCAAGGCAGGTATCTTTTCATCAACATAACATAAAAGTTAACATAAAATAACAAAATAGTATAACACAACACATAACATAAAACACGGACAGTCATGCAATCTTAAAATAAAGAAAAGCGCTAGAGAAAGTGGATGGGTGGTAGAGAGATGAAACTAAATATAAAATCATGGCGTCAAAAGAGCCCCATGTACATGTGCGAATGCATTCACATGTAGCACATAGCAGGCGAGCCTAATAAAACTGCCAAACATTGGGAAGATGAGCACGCTGCAAGCAGCCAGTAATAATGTATCAAATTAAGCTGCACAGCTTCCTCCAGTAGTTGTAAGGTCACAGTGATTTAAGGCGTGTGTTTTCTTAGAAGCAATCCGTAGAGGAAAATTCTTAGAAATAAGTTCCCAGACAGGAAGGTCTCACCAAAATGTAAATTTAGTTTGAGGTAGTTCCGCTAGAAAACAAACTAGATCACTGTTCTTGACTGCTTACCTTGGTCAGAGGTAAAGCAAATCCCAGTTGACTTTGAAAAAAAGGGGACAACACCTTGCACTTGCCATCGGTGAATTTCAGGGCACATACCATCGAGAGACATACAACCGTTTACACTTGCATTCACATGTCCCTGATTGGGAACTCAACCCACGTTGCTGTCAACAAAGTCAGGCTAGGGAACCACTAAAAAGAACTACATGCTTTCATTGTATAACAAACAATGTTTGTAAACAATATGTTTTGGTCCAACTTGCAAGAAGCCTTAGTTTTTCTTCTCTTTGCTCTTCACTCTTGTTATATAACCACATAAGTGTACAACAAAGCTTTTTCCAAGTGAATTCTGTCCTTAAATTCCTCGAATATCTTTTCCGAAAGGCATCAACACAACTCTGAAACCGTTGGGGCGTGTACATTTTCCACACTTCTGTGCCGAGTCACGAAACCGACCAAAATTTTCTCTTACGTGCAAATACCGACAACATTGTGTTACCAAAACAACAACTGGGAGAGAAACTGAACACTGTTCAGTCTGATTGGTGGCCACAAGTCCTTCCCACTTGTCCATGGCCTCTGGTGAGCACGTCTTGCGAAATTCACAGCTCAGTCAGGGGCGGAACCAACACAACACACGTCTGGCAGGGGGAGGGGACAGTGTGCACCAGACACACAGGCACTCGTCTTGCACGTACCACGTGTAAGCTTACGCATGGAGTCCATTGAATAGAACACAGAGCGGATCAGGTTGCTGCAGACATAGAGATCCCTGGAATGCATGATGTTAGTGTTAGGCGCAATTCCGTCATGTGGATTTTTTCAAATTAAAATCAAGATGCCAATGCTGTACTGTATATTTGTTTAAACCAGGGGTTCACAAACTGGGGCCCACGGAACTCTTTGGGTTCCACAAGCCATAACTTGAGGGACCATAAAATAATTTGGAATTACGTCGTATAATTTAAAAAAATGCATACCTGCATATGAAGGATGGCCTATTTGCAATTCCAAATGAGCAAATTCACCTTTTCATGTATTTTTGTTCGGACAACCTAATCTGTTTTTCAATGATAATACAAATATATATATTTTGGTGCCATCTGGTCAGGGGACTGATGACAAGCACCATGTTGAACTGAGGGGTTGAGTGTCATTTTGTCAGGCCATAGCTTTGTCAAACAGAAAAAAAGGGCTTTGCTACCATCTTGTGGAATCTGCAGGCACTTACAAACTTTTTTTGTGTGGGCATCAACTTCTCATTAGGTTTTCGATATTCATGAGGGCTCTGATGTAGGCATAATTGCGGGTGCGACTTCCTGTAAAACAGTGATTCTTAACCCTGTTAGAAGTAATGAACCCAACCAGCTCATATACACATTCATCGAACCCTTCATTAGTGAAAAAATAAAAATATGATTTTTAAAATGAATTTAACACATAAAAAAAACACATTATTAAAAACTGAAAAAAGTAAATAAAATTTCAAGACATAAGTATATGTTGTTTTTAATTGTGCACAAAATGAACCATGCATAACGTACTATCACAAGTCACACGTTGACTACTGAGCGAACTAAATTTCCCACAGCACTGATTGGACAAGCAATATAATGTGATCATATGCCGCGGGCGGGTCATAACTAATTGACATGTTGAGTCAGGTGTGTCTTAATTTCCATGGCAGAGGCTCCGTCGAACCCCTGAGACCGATTCACCAAACCCCTGGGGTTCGATTGAACCCAGGTTAAGAACCACTGCCGTAAAGACACCGGAAATAGCAGTGAGCTATTTGTTACTGTCATGGAGAACCAGGGAGTACTGAAGAAAATGTATTATCAAAAAAAAACACTTCAAACTAACCCCCCAAAAAAATCAAAGTAACAATCACCCATGACAGTAGCACAAAAAAACACACCACTGTAAACAAAACAATGTGACAGCAACAGAAACAAAAACAACCATGACAGTAACACAAAATGTGACAGCAGCAAAACAATCCAACAAAGACTGACAGAACCCAGGGAAGAGGGAACTAAATACAAGCAAACTGACTACGCAACAAGGAACACCTGGACAAGACACAAAGGGTTGAGAGAGCTGATTGGTTGACACAAGGGACCGGAATGACAAGAACAGGTGGAAACAAAACCAAATGTAATCTAAACAAAAACAGAATTATGACAGTTGCAGTGGCTTTTGTTTCCCAGAATGGTTTATTTGCAGAGTGGCTTGATTTCAAACTGGATTTTTTTTTCTTTGGTGGGGTGAGGGGGTACGCAATTTCAGAGTGAACAACTTAGCATACACAGACAGGTAGGAGCATCTGCATTAGCATCTCTGGTGAATATGATGTCATTTATTTATTTAAAGTCTTCATATTGATAAACTAGTATACTGTATTGTACTGTAGAGTTTTGGAGTTCTTGAGGCGATGCATTGGAAGATAAAGGTAACTGTGTCTTTTTCTTTTCTTATTTGTGAAATGCTGTTCTTTAATGCCACAGGTCAGCCTCTTTGGTGTCAATGCGCGTGGGTGAGAGTGCTTGGGAGGTAGACTCTACAATCATATGTGAATCTGCAAATATATTTTTAGGAAGAGTTTAGTCATGCGCTCTACAGTGTGAACGTAGACATTGTTATATCGTGTTTTTTGTTTTTTTGCGGGGGGTACATATTGTGACGTTATGGCGTTATCAGGAGGTGATCACTAAATACCCACTGAAGGCCCAGGTACAAAAACTCACCGCCCGCCACTGACTGAAAAAATAACGGCTGAAGGCAAAAGAAGCAAAGCGGCGTGTTGCAACTTGCTCGCTGTCAACTGTGTAGAGGAAAAAAGGTGTGGAGACGTTTTAGGATTCAAGGATGTCGTTTTAATATCACTGGGGGAAATGGCAACACAACATGCAAGGTTTTGAAACTAGAGGAGGAGAGCAACGTCGACAGCGTTTTCTGTCATCTGTCTGATACATCTCAGAAAGCTCTGTGAACCAAAGCTGGGTTACCTTGACACTTTAGCCAATCAATTGCTGGTCAAATACTTCATGTCAGTTCTGTATTTGATTGAGAAGCCGATAAAGCGATAGATTAGACACCATGGATACTTTCATCTTCAAACAGCGATGATTATTATATGATTATGAGCAATGATTGTCAAAGATATGAGAACCTGATAAGATGTCCACTGTAGTCACTGCTGTCCCTGAAAGGGTTAATCATAAATATCGATTCATAGAGTACAACATGGATAAATAAAGTCTTTACATACAGTACTTTTCTGATTGCGAGTGTATCCGCCTTTTTTGATGTGACAGCGCCCCTGTAATCTAACAATGTAGTTTTTTAATCTGATGATTATACATGTTTATGCCTATATTCAGCATATTTTCGTATTTGTCACCACATAAACAATGTGACACTGATATAAACGTTAGTATGAAAAAATAACATGCGTTCTTATAATTTAAGTGGAAAAATTGATTTCATAAATTAAGTTGTTTTTCATTTCATTTTAGACATCCAAATGTTCATTCATTTTTTAGACATAATGTACTTTTTGTAGCATAGTCATGAAAAAAAAAATCCAGGGTGTCCCCTAAAAAATGTATACCGTACACACTTTGTAAACTAGGTGTTACATATAATTTGTTTCATGTTTAACATGTAAACCAATTTACAAACATCAATCTTTTTTTTTTTTTGTCTGTTCTCAAACTGATGTTTCTTCTGGTCCAGCCACTGCCGACAATGACGACGGAATAGTGCAAATCATGAAACAATTCATTTGGTATTTATGTGCATTCATGTTCACTGGTTGCTTTCAGTTCAGTGACTGTTGCAGCTCTCATTGCGTACACTTTGTCTTTTAGGAATCCCCATTAAAAGAAGTCTCGTGATGTGAGGTCATGGTGAACGCGGAGGGTATTCAACAAAAATCCGTCCAATCCACATGTTTGGCAAGATCACATAAAGGAAGTATCTAACATTGCGATTTTAGCGTGGGAGTGTCCCATCTTGCTGAAAATACTGGCTGCCATCATTTGGTTCAATGGGTTCAATAGATTCATTTGGGTTCACTGGGTTCAATGGGTTCAATGTGCAAAGACAAAACAAACGATTTGAATTATCAGCTGCTAAAAGCTGTATGCATTTTTTTAGGGGGATACCCTGTATTTTGTTTTTATTTAATCACTCTAACATATGCTGCAACTGAGCAAGATTTTCTTGAAACAAATAATGACTTGACCTGACTTGCTTGAAATTTGGTGGTGACTGTACTTGATTTGCTTGATTTTTATTTTTCCATAGTGACTTGGGACTTGCTTGAGACTTGAAAGGCACATATGTGACTTATTCCCACCTCTGATGCCAAGCAACGGCCCTGGTACTACCTTTGCTTTAAAGTAAATAAGATTGTGTCCATCCTCTTTTAACAAAATGCGACCAACTTAATTATTATGTTGGTACTGATATGCGTTCGACTAGAGCTTTTGAGGTTGCTTGTTGCATCACCGTTTAAAGCGACAGATTTCAGAAAGTAGCTAAACATGTGACTTTACGATATCGTTGGCCACTTTTAATGTCATCCTTCTACCCTGTTATATAAATAGGAAGTGGTCTTATAATTGTTTTTTTTTTTAATTTGCAAAAAAATGTATGTTCCTCCATTGTATAAGTAACTGACCTAGAAAGAGGACTCGAATGAATAGTTAAACAAAATGCAGGTTAATAGCGGAAGTCTCGCCCGTAATTCCTGCAAAGGCTCATGAGGCCTAAGAATAAAGTGGATAAAGAGGCTTCAATAAAAGCTCTGATGACCGTGACGTGACGTTTCACATACATTTGCCATCCCTATGAATCAATCTAGAAATCCAATTTTGGCTTGACAATGGTGTCAAGATTGTGGTTCAATAAAAATCATTTATGTGAGCTTCAAAATGTTACTTCTCAAAAAGAACACCAGGGGTCGCAGTTTTTTCGTTGGGTTCACGAACATTCAAAACACTCATCAAATGAAGTTTCTCCAAAGGTGTTTATTTGAGGTTGTTTTTAAAATCATTATAAAATATGTCCAAGAGTCCATATTTCCCTGAATAAGATGTTTTATATTCGTTAATCGACACTACATACACATTGACTTCCTCGACCTTTGATCGGCAGTTTTCATTTGCATATCAGCTAAATATTTACTTTCACCTGAAAAAAATAGATTCAACATAATACGTTTGGGTGTAACATTTAATATTTGAATTCAACAATTAATGTATCTATAGGCGGCCCGGTAGTCCAGTGGTTAGCGCGTCGACTTCACAGTGCAGAGATACTGGGTTCAATTCCAGCTCCGGCCTCCCTGTGTGGAGTTTGCATGTTCTCCCCGGGCCTGCGTGGGTTTTCTCTGGGTACTCCGGTTTCCTCCCACATTCCAAAACATGCATGGCAGGCTGATTGAACACTCTAAATTGTCCCTAGGTGTGAGCGTGGGCGTGGATGGTTGTTCGTCTCTGTGTGCCCTGCGATTGGCTGGCATCCGATTCAGGGTGTCCCCCGCCTACTGCCCGAAGACAGGTGGGATAGGCTCCAGCACCCCCCGCGACCCTAGTGAGGATAAAGCGGGTCGGACAATGAATTAATGTATCTACATACTGACAAATATTGTTGCAAATGTGTAGAAAAGTGATCCTCAACATTTCCCATCAATTTTTTTAACATTCCTTAGTTTAAGCTAATGTGACAATTTATTCTCAGTACAGGTATTAATTTATTCGCTTGTGGCCAAGATTCCATCTCATTTTTGACGTTATCCGCATCTAAATCGACCCCAAAGCAGCAAAGTTGTCCTTCAGCGTGTTCCCTGAATTGTTGTGTGTGTGGATACACACTGCCCTGGTTATTACGTAAGCCGTTGAGTACAGTAGACTCATTAACCCGAGTCAGGAAACCCCAACCCCTTTGCTTCTTGCCTGCAGTGGATGCCAGCCAGGGTGAGGGATTCAGGACGATTCATCAGTACATCGCTGCGTCTGGTGCCACCTAGCGTCCTCTTGGGGAAAAAACGCGCTCGTCGTCTCGTCTTTGGCAGCAGCTCATGTCATGTGAGGCTCCAGTCTCGTGTAGGAGGAGTTCGGTATGTGTTGCATGCGCCAACAGATCTGACACCTGAGAAACTGCCGGCTGGAGGAAGCCAAACGTGTACAATAACCCTAACCTGATAAGGTTAGAGTCACCTGCCAGCCACGACTGTATTTTTAGTTCTCATTTCAATGTATAAATCCGATAGGATTGCAACATTCTCTCCATGGAAATGAACAGGAATTTATGGTAATAAAAGGAAAGAAACCAGGAATTTACCAAATTGAATGTTTAGGGAAGTAAGCACTAAAAACAAATGGATTTCGATAGTACCTTTTTTTCGAGTTTGAACCATCACTAAATTCACGTGGTTATTCATCACAAAGTTACCTGAAATTTGAAATGGATTCTATTTTTAATGTTTGATGATTATAGTCGGGAGAACACGTTGACCACGTGGTGAGCACGTTTTGCCTCACAATTCTGACAGTGAGGGCTCCAGCCTTCTGGTGCGGTATTTGCATAGTGCTTGCATGAGTTTTCTCCGGGAACTGGCTCTTCCTCCCACATTCCAAAATCATGCTTCAGTTCATTCAAGATTCAAAATTGCAGCGGTTTGGCTGAGCGGTCATCACCTGCAAGGTATTTCTTCCCTGGTGGTTTAAACACAATCAGAAGCTGAACTTCATTAACATCCTAAATTCTAATGTTTGTGTTATGAAATTGTATGAATATATTCCCAGCAACCTGTATCTTCATTAAGCAGTGTTTCTTTGAGCTCTATCGCTTCCAGAATGCGTGGATGTTGAGATTTTATTTTTGTCCAGATTTCAGCCTCAACTATACTGTGTATTTGTTGCCATGCCAACCTAATCTGTCCGGGTTCATCAAAATCAGCAGCGCTTGAGAGACAAAAGCTTGGCAAAGTTGAAGAATGCAAAAAAAAAAAACTCTTTGGAAGTGTGAGGAAATAGTCAGTTTCTAAATGTACAATTGCAAGGAATTTAGGTACAGCGTACGGTATTTCATTATCTACGGTTCATATTATCAGCAAAAGATGCAGAGAATCTGAAGACATTTCTGCACAAAAGCGACAAGGCCGAAACCCAACATTGAATACTCGTGGCCTTCGGTGCCTCAGGCAGGACTGCATTAAAAAAAAATGGCATCCTTTTGTAAAGGATATACAACACAACACTTCAGACAACCAATTCATTGTGTCATCTCTAAATGAAAAGTGAAAACTCTTTCCCATGCAACTCGAAAGCTAGATAAATAAACACCACCCAGGTGGCGCTTCTGGGTGGCTTTTCTGGGCAGGAGCTCATCTGAGATTGATTTGACGCAAAATGGAAAAGTGTGCTGCAGTCTGACGAGTCCACATTTCAGATTGTTTTTGGAAATTGTGGGTGTCGTGGTCTGCAGGCCAAAGAGGAACAGAACCAATCTGGATCGTTATGCACACATTTCAAAAGCCAGCATCTGTGATGGTGTGGGATTATGTTGGTGCCCATGGCATGGGTCATCTCTCTCGCTCATTTTATCTCCTACATCTCTGAAAGCACCATTCACAGTGAAAGGCGCATAGAGGTTTTAGAACGACATGTTGCCAGTAAGCAATGTCTTTTTCAGGGATCTCCTTGCTTCTCTTAGCAAGTCACTGCCAAGACACATTCAGTTTGTGTTACAGCTGCGTGGAATCAGAGTACCTGACTGGTCTGATAACTGGGGTTCACTGCATTGTTTTTATTTACATTTTGCACAACTTACCAACTTCACTGCAATTGGGGTTTGTGGTTTGCATCGGTGAAAAACTAAGTCAAACCATTCTAATATTTTCGGAAACATTTGTTGAACCATGATACGGCCATCGTTGTAGGGTAGAATGGTCGAATACTATTTTGCTCCATTTGCAGATGGGTGTCTGTGAAATGCACACAAGGAGTTAAAGTAACACTAAGAAAATAAAACAAATAGCTTGACTCAGATTATAATCAAGTTAGAACCTTTAATGCAACAAAGTGATCATACAGCTGTACAGTAACAAACCCCACACATTTTCATTTTGGACCAAAAAAAAAAAAAGCGAAAGCATGCCGGAATGATCTGAAATTCAAATAAGAATATCAACATAGTTCTCTTAGTACTTGAAAGAGGACCCGCCAATGCAGCCAGAGTTAAAACCGTTTCCCAGGACCCTGATGGGGGACAGGAGAAGGATCTTCAAGGCAGGCTGGTACCATATCCACCCCTGGCTTGAATATTCTCAACAGATGGACTCGGCGTATTGTTACGCTTGCAGATATTTTAGCCCTCCTAATACTGTTTTTTTCTCATCACTTGATGGGGGACAGGAGAAGGAGCTTCAAGGCAGGCTGGTACCATATACACCCCTGGCTTGAATATTCTCAACAGATGGACTCGGCGTATTGTTACGCTTGCAGATATTTTAGCCCTCCTGATACTGTTTTTTTTCTCATCACTGGAATGTTATGACTACAATGCTTTCAAAGCTTGATGAAATAAAAAGTCAAATAATATTTCGAATCTGTCTTTTTAGCCCTGGGTTGAATGTGCCCCTCCATCAAAACCCCCGGCCCCAGCCCGGCCCCCTCAGTGAAACTGATCTAGAACCGCCACTGCAGCCTTCTGGTGCGGTATTTGCATAGTGCTTGCATGAGTTTTCTCCGGGAACTGGCTCTTCCTCCCACATTCCAAAATCATGCTTCAGTTCATTCAAGATTCAAAATTGCAGCGGTTTGGCTGAGCGGTCATCACCTGCAAGGTATTTCTTCCCTGGTGGTTTAAACACAATCAGAAGCTGAACTTCATTAACATCCTAAATTCTAATGTTTGTGTTATGAAATTGTATGAATATATTCCCAGCAACCTGTATCTTCATTAAGCAGTGTTTCTTTGAGCTCTATCGCTTCCAGAATGCGTGGATGTTGAGATTTTATTTTTGTCCAGATTTCAGCCTCAACTATACTGTGTATTTGTTGCCATGCCAACCTAATCTGTCCGGGTTCATCAAAATCAGCAGCGCTTGAGAGACAAAAGCTTGGCAAAGTTGAAGAATGCAAAAAAAAAAAACTCTTTGGAAGTGTGAGGAAATAGTCAGTTTCTAAATGTACAATTGCAAGGAATTTAGGTACAGCGTA